ATAATAATAATAATAATAAAATATGGTCTGGTCTAGTCTGGTCTGATCTGGTTTGTTTTGGTCTGGCCTGGGACGAATTATCGTACAAGTAAAAACAACCTAAAGTAGACATAATTATTAATTAGGCTATGTTCGGTATGCTCCTTCAGCTAATAAATGGCTGAAATATTTTCAATTCAGTCCATTATGATTAAAATAATCATGTTTGGTTGATGGGCTGAAAGTGGTTTAAGCTGAAAATAATTGGCTGAAATCAAACGCTTAGACCACCAACGTTTATATTCAGCCTGATATTTCTAGACTTTTTGTTCCCATACTATCCTTAACGCAAGATACTTCACTCTAGACCTGCACAATACCGGGCCGGCCCGCTCATATAAATGAGCGGGTTTGGACACATGCTTTAGCCCACTGGGCCGGGCCGGGCCCGGCCTGTTTAAAATATGGGCGGACTTGGGTTGTAATATAGGTCCGGTCGGGCCTAAAAGCCCGGCCCGTAAACATATTATATATATTATATTATACTCCCTCCGTCTCATTGGAATGTTCCCGTTCGGTTTACGATGCTTGACTGACGATAAAGCAACTCGATCCCTATTCACACTCCGCTTATTTTTAGTAAATAAAATTTACATATTCAGAAACTACATTAAAACCGCTACAAAGCCTGATCAAGAAAAGTTCAATTTGATAAAAATTTGATATATAAAGTAAAAGATTAGGAGTGACCTAAGTTAACCAATGAATAGTGAACAGGAACATTCCAGCGGGACGGAGGGAGTATATATTATTCTATATATAATTATACAGTATATGACTATACGTATAAAACTTAAAATACTTGGAAGTATTAAGATTTGAACTGTAATGATATACATTTGTTAAGTCTTTTGGAGATACTCTTGACTATTTCCGCTGCACATTGTGAATCTGTAATTGTGCTTTTAATTATGGAATATGGATGCTTATTTGGAATTTGGATGCTTTTTGTTTTCCAGAATCGTTTTGTGTATTGCATTTAAACGTATTCTTGTGTTCAAAATGTGTTGTGAGTACATTAATTATTTAATTGCATTTAAAATGTTGTGATGTTATTTTATAAATGTTTTCATTTTTTTAAAAGAGTTGACAAAAGGATATTTTCCGGGCCCAAAAGCCCGGTGGGCAGCCCGGCCCGCTCTCATGGGCGGGCTTGGACATATGAGGAGGCCCGTTTTACCGGGCCGGGCCGAGCCCGCCCACTACAAGTGGGCAGATTTTTTAGAATAAGCCCGACCCGAGTCCGGCCCGAGCCCGTATTTGTGCAGGTCTACTTCACCCCTCCAAATTCTATTGCGTATATGATGTAATTTAATCATCACGTCATCACCATACTTCATTTTAATTAACTCAATCGTAGATAAATCATTTTTCTATAAAATTGTTTCATTGTTTTAAAAGCGGCTTTAAAACGTCTCGTAATTCTTTTTACACATATGACTTGTCAGGTTATATTCTAGAGGGAGATTTACATTGAAATTTGTACGACAAAAATAGTGCATTACTGCATCCAAAATGTTATTCTTTACTTGATATATTCAAAAATATACAAAATCATTACACTACGTAGTACAAGTATATTATTCTTTAATTTAATCAAATACCCTTTAATGTAATTTTGTATTCTCCAGACACTTTTTTAGCTCCTTATGTCAAACGGGTCTACTTCATTCAGTTAGTAGTTCAGATTCACCACTTCAAAGTTCAGCTCCAGACAATAAGCATATACACGCGCTAACCAATAAGCAAAAAGACATAAGCCTATGCGATCAAATTAGAGAGAATTTCCCAAATGGGACTAAAACTTGATTAAAACTCCAAAGTAGGACATTAAGTTTTTTATTACCTAAATAGGACTTTTAATTACTGATCGGACAAAATTGCCCTTAATGAATTTAGCGCATGATCTTTAGACTTCCGACTACTCTGTTGCGGTGCCCTGCACCGATAACTTCATATTGCCGACACCACCACCCTCTGCGTAAGGCTTCAGTGCACAGACTTCCACTGTCGTTGGCTGATTGCCGCCGCCTGGGTGATTGCTGCCACCTAGGTGAACGTCGTAGCTGCCTGGCATGAGTTGCAAGATAAGATCGCCATTGTATATCTCTTGTAAGATGGATTCCAGATTCGAACATACTCCCCTTCTGTTCTCTGCCTCTCTTTCCTTTTCTCTCTTCCTCTTCACATTCGAACATTATCTCCCAGATTCCTCTTCCTCATATGATTTCTTCTTCTTCTTACTCTGTTTTGTAAAAAAATGCCACCTTTGTTCCCAAAATGTCATGGAGATGACATTTCCATATATAAAAATATGGCAGTCGTGGAGAATGTCAAGTTGGTGTCATTTTTACTCTTTATAAATGTCAAATAAAAACTGTCATCTTGGTAAATGTAATGTCAAAAAAGTGACATTTTTTCCAAATGAGTGTTCAATAAAATAACAATTATGCCATTTTCAGGTCCAATTAGTGAGAAAAATAGTATGAACGATTTAAAGTGAATTAGATGGAATTTATAAAAAATGAAGAGAAATGACTTTCACAATTCAAAATTTTATTTAAAATTTGATTGATAAAAAACTAAAAATAATGTTGGCATTTTGGAATAGAAAGATGACATTTACAAAAGGAGAAGAAGAAGAGCAAGAAGAAGAAGAACAAGAAGGAGAAGGAGAAGGAGATGGAGGAGAAGAAGAAGGAGAAGAATACCTGATTTTGATGGAGATGGCGTCCGGCGTCGAGCAGGCAGCTGCGATGATAGGCCAGCGTCGAGTTGCGAACTTGCGATCGATGGAGGTTGAGCTGCGATCGAGTTGCGAACAGTTGAGCTGCGATCGAGCGATGCAGAGGGATTTGGGGAAAAGGTGATTTAGGGATTATGGGCAAAAAGGTAATGTGGAGTCCCATTTAGGAAATTTAAAACTTGAAGTCTTATTTTGGAGTTTTAACTATGTTTTAGTCCCATTTAATATAATTTCTTATCAAATTAATGTCACTGACCATCAATTCACCATTCACAAGTCTCCCCTAGCTACCACAAAGAAAAATATACACGTATCCCAATCAAATATTCCAACGGCAAAGCAAACATAACTACTTGAACTAAAATAAAAAAGAGTACTACTAAAAAATATACAATGGTGAAATAAGATCTGAGTCTTCAAAATCTTCAAGTTCTCAGTACCAAGTAAAGCTTTTCCACAAATCTGTTCCGGGAAAAGAGACGGTTGCAGAGGAGGGCAAGCTCTTATAGTAATGGTAAAAAATAAACCTCTCATTCTGCTATGCTCCGGGTAGTCATAGGAAAATGTTGAGTGAAAAACACTATTGATGCCTTTGCCATATTCTACACAACTAATATAAGACAGACAGAACCCCTGGCCAAGCAAAGCTGGCAAGGACCATAATGCTCCTTCCCACATTGAGGGAGACAAAACACATCAGAGCAACTATATATATATGATCGGGAGAGAACCACAATATAATAGCACAAACTCAACAAACAAAGAACAATTAAATTGGATCATATTCATACCAAGAATCAGAAGAAGAAGCCAACCTAAAGATCGCTGACAAGATTAGGCAAATTGATGAACTGCAACACTGACGAAGCATAAAGGGAGCGGGCTGCGATATCGGCGACGGAAGAGCTGAGGGCCAAAATCCAAACTCTAGAAGGAGAGAGCCCCTTTGTCGCGAGTTATGTATCTTGTTTTTCTTTTTGAATTCCATGAAAATAAACACTACATCTGTCCTTTTGAGTTATCCATCTTTGACTTTTTTAATCATAGTAAACTTTAGTCAATCATTTAAACTAAAGGATAAGGCTCAAATTGAACATTATAGTTTCATCAGAATCTCATATTAGACACTAAAGTTTCAAATGGACCAAATTAGACATTATGATTTCATATATATCTCATATATGAAACTTTAGTGTCCAATATGAGATATATATGAAATCATAGTGTCTAATTTGGTCCATTTTAAACCTTAGTGTCCAATTCTGATGAAACCATAGTGTCCAATTTTAGCCCTCCCTTTAAACTAATAGAGAATACTCATTTTGGAATAGTCGTTTAGTAATGCTTCAGAGAATACACATTTTATACTATTTTGTTATACTACGTACAAAATACACTAACAAGAGTATATCTCATAACTAAATGTTATTAAAAGGTTACCCCCAACAAAAAAGTGTTGTAAAAAGGCCTTGAACTTCAAAATGCATATTTCATTATTGATATGCATCATTCGCTTGTCAACTAGAGAACATTTTTAAAATAAACGAGAAATGATAGGTTAAGATCTATATGTAAAATGACTTTAAATAAGGAGTGCACCACTCACTTTCCTTTTTTGGACGTCCTATATAAAGGTTCTCATTTTCATTTTAGAAAACAATTAACAATTTTAAATGACAAATTATTCATTAAATATTAAAAACAATACATTTATAACATCACGGTTATCAACACTAACCTCATTATATTATATACCTATTAAAATTATTTCTCAAAATATACTTGAACTACCTTATTTAATTATTGTCTAAATAACCGTTTCGTTTTAACATGAGAACCTATCAATGGAACGGAGATAATACTATATTTACCGATATTAAAATCGTATTTAAACCTTTGTAGAATAAAATAGGAACGTTATGTTAAGATCTAACTGTAGATTGACTTCAAATAAGACGTACCAATTATCACCTGACACCAATAACAATACATTCCAACTTTTTCATGATATGAAGGGACTTTTATTACAAAGTTAATGAATGATTTGGTATCGGTTTTTGATGAGATAAAAACCCGGATTTTCAGTTAAGAAGTCGACCGTTTTCATTTTTGATATATATTCACGTAATCGGTATCGTCTAAAGTGATTTCTAATTATGTATTCTTATTTTTTTTTACATTTGCTTTTAGAAAAAAGTTTAATCCCTCCATCCCACTTTAAGGTTCTCACCCAGTTAGTGTTATAAAACGAGTTCATAGTATACACACGCGAGTCGAGCGGCCGTCTCTAGGGTTTGCTAGGAGTGTTTATCGGTGGCGCAGCCTGTCCGGTGGTGTTTCTCTGGCTCAACGAACGATAGGGGCTTGAAGAGGATGAGTATTCTCAGTTGGAATTGCAGAGGACTTGATAACCCTGCAACGATCCAATGCTTTGTTGACCTGCTGCAAACAGCGAGGCCATCTCTCGTCTTCCTGATGGAGACCGAAGTCCGATGCCTCAGAGCGAAGGACCTGTTTCGACGGTAGGGTTTCACGGAAGCGTTTGGTATTGATAGTGATGGCACGAGCGGGGGTCTCTTACTGGGCTAGAAGGACGATATGGAAGTCGAAATTGTACAGGGCGAGAGGAATTACATCGATTGCAGAGTCAGGACGCAGACCAGTGGCGGGGCATGGCGTTTGACTGGTTACTATGGTTTCCCGGAGACCCGAGGGCGACGGGAGGCATGGGCCATGATGGAAGGGCTGGCGTCGAATGGTAATGGACCGTGGATGATGACCGGGGACTTCAATGATATACTATATGAATAAGAAAAGAAGGGGCGCATCCCTCACCTGCCGTGGAGGCTACGGGGCTTTCGGGAGGCTGACAAGAGCTGCGGATTGAGAGACCTTCCTTTCTCGGGATACCAGTGGACTTGGGACAGAGGTAGGGGTACGCCATACTGGGTGGAGGAAAAACTCGATCAGATACTGGTTAACGACGATTGGTGGGACACTTTTCTGGATGCCCAAGCTGAGGTAGGGGTACGCCCTCCTTGTGAAGTTCAAAACTTCTAGCCAAGGCAATGGTAAGAGAAGATTTAAATTTGAAAATAATTGGGTCAAAGAAGAAGAATGTCGGACGATAGTTTCTAACAGTTGGGGGGCGGTTGCCCATATGGGTATTAGCGAGCATATAGCCTTTTGCGGTAAACAACTACTACGTTGGGACAAGGGCAGGAAACTGGGCTTTAGGCATCAAATCCTAAACTGCAAAAAGAGGTTATCGTGGCTGAGGGGAAAAGAGGACATGAAAAGCATATGTGAGTTCCTGAGGGTCCGAACCGTGCTCCAGATCCTGCTGGAAAAGGAGAACTTATTATGGAAACAAAGGGTTAAAGAGTTCTGGCTCAAGGAGGGAGATATAAATTCCCGATTTTTCCACAATGCTGTTAAAAACCGCAAGAGAATGAACAGAATACCAGGATTGAAAGCACCTGATGGAGCCTGGGTCACGGACAGAAGCGAGATGAGTTCTTTAATAACCAATTATTTTTCATCTATTTTTCAGGCCCCGGGAGCGAACCGAGCTGTGGAAATTTACGGGGATTTCTCGCATGTGACTAAAGACCAGAACAACATTTTATTGAAACCGATATGTCCGGAGGAGGTAAAGGAGGCGGTCTTTGATATGCATCCGGGGAAGGCGCCAGGATCGGATGGTATGAATCCAGCTTTCTTTCAAGCGTATTGGGATGTTGCAGGGCCTGAAATATCCGCGCTATGTGCTCAAATGTTTGAATCAGGTACCCTTGCTGTTAACATTAACATCACCAATTTAGTTCTAATACCTAAGAAAGACAAACCGGACAACATGGGTGATTGGCGGCCGATAGCCTTATGCAATGTGGTTTATAAAATATTTGCTAAAGTTTTGGCTAACGGGCTGAATGGTATACTGAGTAGTCTGGTGGGGGAGAGTCATAGTGCTTTTGTGCCAGGGCGATCTCTTATTGACAATATTATAGTGGCATTTGAAACCCAACATTATTTAAAAAGAAAAAACAGTGGGAAAGAAGGTTTTGTCGCTCTTAAACTGGATATCAGCAAGGCTTATGACAGGGTGGATTGGCGTTTTCTAGAAGGTATTTTAAATAAGATGAGCTTCAGGGGACGATGGGTCCAGATGATAATGGAATGTGTCAGGACGGTCTCTTACTATGTTCAGTTCGATGGTGAATTTTTGGGACCTATCTGTCCGGGAAGGGGTTTACGCCATAGGGACCCTTTGTCTCCCTATTTGTTTATTCTGGTTGCAGAAGGCCTGAGTGCTCTTATCCTGAAAGCGGAACAACGAGGTGATGTTCATGGAGTTGCGGTCTGCAGAGGAACACCGCGAGTTTCTCATCTTTTCTTTGCTAATGATAGCTTCCTGTTTTTCAGAGCCACTGCTCAAGAATGTATCATTATTAAAAATTTACTACAAGTTTATGAGGAGAACTCGGGGCAGGCGGTGAACTTCAGCAAGTCTACTTTTTCTTTTAGTAACAACATTACTGATGCTTTTAAGGAGCACTGCTGTAATTTCTTCGGGGTAATGCAGGAAGGGGGCCAACAGAGGTATCTCGGGCTACCAAGTCTGGTAGGGCGAGGAAAATCTGCCATTCTCAGATTCTTACGCGATCGAGTATTTCAGAGGATCAAGAGCTGGAACAATAGATTCTTATCTCGAGCTGGTAGAGCGGTGTTGTTAAGAAATGTGGTGCAGACTATGCCAACATATGCCATGAATGTCTTTCTACTACCGCGGGATCTCTGTGATGAAATTGAAAAACTAATGAATGGATTTTGGTGGAAGGGGTCTAAGTTTGATCAGCGAGGAATTCGGTGGAGAAGGGAACTCATGTGTAAGCCAAAGGGTTTCGGAGGATTGGGCTTCAGGAAACTCAAGGAATTTAATATTGCTATGCTTGCCAAGCAGGGATGGAGGCTCCTTTCTCAGTCTGGTAGCTTGATGGGACAGGTGTTAAAAGCGAGGTATTTTCCTAACTCTAACTTCTTAAAGGCAAAGCTTGGCACCAATCCTTCATTCATCTGGCGGAGTATATGGGAATCACAAGATGTTCTAAAAAATAATGTCCGCCAGAGAGTTGGAAATGGCATAAATGTTAAGGTTTGGGGTGACGCCTGGCTACCAGGGCCAGGGGATGGCAGGGTACGCTCTGCCAAACCAAATGACATTGCAGATATGAATGTTGCGGCTTTAAGGGATGCTACTGGCACAAGATGGAATCTGGAGAGGATAGCAAATATCTTTAATGAGGAAGAGCGTAAAATCATAAGCAGCATCCCTATTAGCATCCATGACAAAAGAGATGAATTTTGGTGGAGTAAAGAGCAAAATGGGATGTTTTCGGTGAAAAGCTGCTACAAAGCCTTGATGCCCGGAGTGACAGGAGGGGGCTGGGTCGGCTGGAAAGGACTTTGGGATCTTAAAGTCCCTCCAAAAATTAAATACTTTATTTGGTAGGTCCTGGATGATTTTCTTCCTTGGTTTGCAAATCTGGAACGAAGAGGTATGTCGGTGCTAAACAGGTGCAAAGCGTGTGCACAAGACCACGAATCTTCAGACCATGCACTCCGGAGTTGCCCGCACGCAGTTGCGGTCTGGTCGGCGGCTAGTATTGCTACTGGCAGTGGGGAGATGTCTCTGAAGGACTGGCTTCAGGAGGCGTTGGTGGACCCCGATAAAGATAGGAGGTGCAAAATTGTTATGCTGACCTGGGGTTTATGGAAAAGGAGGAACGAGTTTGTTTGGGAAAACAATTGGCAAAATACGGAAAGTGTCATTAATTGCAGTGCTAGTGTTCTTCAGGCTTGGAGAGCTGCCCAACATATCAAAGCGAAGCCAAGTTTGGAAGGAAGAGAGAAGAATTAACGCTAGAAGAGGCCAAAGGAGAGAGGTATCAAGATAAACGTCGACGCAACGGTTGATCATACAGGGGGAGTTAGAGCTTGAGTCTGGGTCACCAGGGATGAGCAGGGCGATTTTATGAAGGCAGGGGGAGGCTCTTGCAGAGCGGACTAGTCCCCGATAGAAACAGAAGCTTTCAGAATTCAGGAGGCAATTCAGGCAACTATAGCGACAGAATGGGAGAACGTCGAGGTTGAAATGGATGCGCAGGCCATCGTCAGAGGTGTACAATCAGGCGGTGGATCCAGCTATATAGATCTCATTATTGATGATATTCGATTTTTACTTCAAAAAAAGAATAGTTACATGATCTCTTTTTGTAATCGATCTGCGAATCGTGTGGCACTGTGGCTCATGCCTTGGCAAGATCGCACGTTACCATCTCAGATCAGGCTTGGAGTTATAGTTTAATTCCGGATTGCATTGTAAGCCTTTTGGCGAATGATCTTTTGATTTAATAAAAGTGCTTAGTTCTGTGGTCAAAAAAAAATTATGTATTCTTATGGTTCTTTATGCAATAAATGACATTACTTGAACTCATTTTCTACTAGTAATATTCAGTTCATTACAAATGAAAAATAAATGTAGACGCAACATGCAAGGTGGGGATAAATCAACATTAGCTTGCACGAAAGTTGTTAGTCGTCATTGCGATCCATTGAAAGAGTGAAATTACTATTTCAACCCTTGTATTGCAGCTGCGTTAGACCCCAAGTAATTTCTGATTACAAAATTTTAGCAACTGCATTACCAGATTTAGAGCAAGGCGGGAGGTTTACTTTCTCGACAAGAACATTGCCACTGCAGTCAATTCTGTATGAAATGTCCAAGCCCTCCAAAATAAGGTGATACATGTTATCACTACTAGTACTGTTCACATCTTCATTCTTTTCTTCTGGCATTGTTAGATCAGCGGAGTTTGCCAGATCCTGATTGTGCTCACCCCCAATGCCGTCAGGCCTCACCGTAGAAATGCGAGGTCGGGTTCTTTGAGAGACCGAGCGTATATCCCATGAAAGCACTTGTCTTATCAAGCATTGGAATTCATGACTTGAACTATAAAGTGATTTCTTTTCCTGGAAACATAAAAGAAGCCGTCATTTTGCAGAAAAAAAATTGATGATAGGAGAGAAACAAACAAAGAGAATAAAAGAAATAACAAAAAGTTAAAGGCAGCAAAATAGTGATGCTTTGATGACTAGTCTAAAGTATTTCTTGTCATCCCATGGACTGCTTAATCTATAAGTGATTCAGGTTGTTTATTGACCTACAAAGAATGATGAGAGAGAAAGAAACGAATAGAACAATAAAACACTAAAGTTAAACAGCAGAGAGTGATGCTTTGCCAACTGGTATAAAGTCAATCCTCAGTCTTATGGGATGCTTATAGAAAAACGTATTTACTGTTTCAGGTTGCTTATAGACCAGCTTTACAGTCATAGAGTGCATATGGAGATCTTATGGATAAGTTCAATCAGAAAGACCACTTTGTAAAATTGAAAGCTTAAGAACTTGTCCTCTAATCACTTGTTTGATACTGGATATATCCCATTGTTCTGCAGATAATCAAGCTCTTTCAACTTACTTAATTGTTAAGTGCAGTTTTATAATTTACACTTGACACTCCTCACACATCCACAGTATTATTTCCACAAGCTTGTCTTCAGAATAGAATTTGGAATTTCATCCCATTAAGCATGAGAAGTTGAAAAGACTAATGCTTCTATGGTTCAAAGCCGGGACAGGCCTTGTTTGGATCTAAGATGCCAAACACATTATTGATTACATTAAAAAAGAATAAAAAATATTATCGCTAAGATCCTGTTTGGTAATGCTAAAATTGGTTGAATCGGTTGAATTTACTAAAATTAGCTGAATTGGCTAAAATTACTAAAATTGCTTAAATTCTAGCTGAAATGGCTAAAGTTGTTGCATCTGCTCAATTATTAGAAAATATCAAAATCTACTTTATTGATAAATAAAGAAAATATATATTGAATAAACTAAAATAGTCTTCTTCACCAAAACCAATCAATTAAACAAGAAAAGTAACTCCAGTCTTACTTATTTTGATTATCACATATTCTTGAACGTGAAATCAAAAGTTTAGTGTTTGGTAAAAGAAATAACCGATAAAGCTAATAAGGCGAAAATAGAGGTGCGGGCCCTAAATAGAACAATGCATTTAGAAATTGAACTTTTCCAGAAGAACAAAGGAAGCGACATCTTTAAATTGGGAAAGACAACAATTAATTAACCAGTAACTTGAGAAGAAAGATGCCACTCGTAAAGGTGTAAACTTATAGGAATAAATGTTAGTACATGGCGATTTAGATTCAATAACAAAGACAACAACAATATCCAAGTCTTACTCCCAAAAGATTTTGGGGTCGGCTAACTTGAATCGATACGTGATACCGGAGCCAAAAGGAAAATAAAAAGATAAGGTATGATAAAAAAGATAAGATATACAAAGACATAAGAAAGATTAAAAAGATACGATAACATGAATATATATAGAGAGAGAGAAAAGATCAGGTGAGAAGTGCCCCTTAAAATGAGAAGTGAGAAGTAATCTTAGCCCTTGGATTTGCATGTGATCTAGCAACGCAGTAAACTTATAGACTGATTATAGAAACTTATAACCAATAAATCATAACTTATAAAGCTCTCCATCAAAATTACGGAAATGCCACGACGTCAAAAAAATTTCCAAGTTTCTGGAGTTGATTTGACGCGGTGGCATTTTCGTAATTATTTTCGAGGGGGTCTATTAGTCTATAAGTTATGATTTATTGATTAAAAGTTTGTATTTTTAGCCTATAAGTTTGACTTCGCAGTTCTCAGCCTAAGGGCACTTCTCACCTGATCCGCTCCCTATATATATATATATATATATATATGTGTGTGTGTGTGTGTAATAAAAGAATAAAAAACATAAGAAAGATTATAGAAGAGTGCATATTCAATAACAAAGACAATTACCATTATTGGCCAACAAGCACTCAGGCTAGTAGAGAAAACCTCCGAAAAGTTAATGGAAGATACAGCCAACACCTCATCCCCCTGTCCAAAGATTTCACCAAGTGTTATATAAAATTAGTCTAACGAGACGAAGAGAACTTCAGTATTCATTCCTATAAGAATAAGGTGAGCCTAAGAGTTGTGTACAGTTGTAATATTTCTCATTCCAGACGTTGAGCTAGTAGAGTCAATTTGATAAAAGCTTGTGGGTAAGTCTTCATCATGTCACTTTGAATTTTGATCAGTGTGTTTTGAAAACCTATTTGTCCCTCATTTTTGTTCTTGTTCATCTATTATTTTCTTTATTGGATCAATCGTTGTGAATCTTTTGAGCTAAAAAGCTTTCATGATCCCAAAAGAAGAGAATACCAATATTGCAAGCGCTCAGGGGCAAGAAATGGATTATATTCAGCTTTAGGCTTCCCGAACACCGTTTAGAATCCAGTTGGAGCAAAAATGGCAGACCGAAGCACTGGAACTAGCAACGTAACGGCTTGCAAAAGCCATTCCATGGTTTAACAGGCTTGTAGCCATTACTTAACTTCTGCACAAAAGCATTGTGCTGTAACGATGTAAATACTGCCACATTACAGCGTGCATGGTTTTGTTCCCAAATGGGTGATGACATAGGTAACGGCGTAACGTCGTTATCTACGTTGTCATCTGCATCCTGTTTTCCTTGTCTGTTTAGCATGTGACGGCGTGGGTAATGCCGTTAACTATCTCATTACCCTGCACCTGATCGTGCTTTCATGTGTTTCTTAGGGATTTTCCCATCATTTTTAACAAATGACCTCCTATGAGCTAGATGGAGATGTATCTCTTAGAATCAGAACAGAGAAGGTGAAATGGAAGAGTGACAGAGACCTAGATAGTACTAGTAATAAGAATAATATTAGTCTTTTAATATTGCACAATAAAAGGGGTTTAGGCCCTGAATTAAATAGCAGTGTGCTAGCCCAAATGGAAAAGAATAAATAGGAGTTGGGGGAGTAGAATAGGGCAGGCAGACTATGGAAGACTTTGGACTGGAAATAGACTTGGGAGAGGAGACTGCTCTAAGTGTCTAAAACTGTATTTTCCTTTCTTTCATCGATCGTTCTCTAATATACGTCAAAATTACCGATTGAATCTGAGGGTTCTAACATTGGTATCAGAGCACTTTGATCCCCAACAAATGTTCACACATGGAGAATAATAGGGAAAAGGTCGAACAAAATCAACAATCCACGGCTGATTGGGCTGCGGAGATGTGGAGTCGAATAAACGAGATCTGTAAACTTCATCGCAGGCAACATAGAGACCGAGCGAGGAGCCCTCCTAGACGCTGTCGGAATTCTGTAAACCAGGTTCCATCTTCATCGCAAAGTGCGCAGACTGTGTCGCACGTAGAAGCTCCCAGATCGCAATTGACAACTTCGTCGCTATCAGTTGTTCTGAGTTCGCAAGGTTCTTCTCAATCTCTAGCCACGTCTCAGAGTTCCAGTTCGCCTTCGCTACTCGTATCTCACCAATCGTCATCGCGAGAGGCTTCTAACAGTTCGCAGAGGGCATCTCAAATCGCGTCGCACAGTGCTCTCGCCTATTCTTCCCCTTCGCAAATTGTTTCGCACTCAGACTCTCCAGGTTCGCAACAGGAGTCTGTTAACCTGCGGCAACCTTCCTCTGAAGACACATTCAGCAATGGTGACAATGGAGGTGAAGAGCAATTTTCTGCGGTGACTCAAGCCTCTAGTGCCACGGAATATAAATCCGCTGATGATAAAAGTGCTGGTTCAAATACTACTGAACTGGAGCACAAAGTGGTTCCTGAAATCTCTATAGGCTTGGCTCAGCAGGAAGTCATTGCTGTCATAGAGAATGGGATATCACCAGACATTATACATGATGCCACCTCAATGCATCGGTCAATAAATAATGTTGCCATATCTCAGAAAGAAGAACCATTAGGGAACATTGTGAGAACCAATTCTTTGTATTTTGGTGCCTGGACTGCCTGTATAGATAAAACTGAGAAAATAGCAGAGGGGGGGAACATTATGAAGAAGTAGGCAGATCACGAGACATGTATTGGATCTAGGGATAAAGCTGTTGCGGTTCTGGAAATTCCAAATTAACAGTTAGGTCACTACTTTGAAGATTTTAAGGTGTTGGTTGACAGTAGGCCACTATCAGAATGGCGAACTGATGAAGAAAAGGAATCAGCAGCAGTTTATACTGGCTCGGAAACCACCATTGATGCTAGAACGGTTGGTGATAATGCTAAGGGAATGACACCAATTCGTATTCTTGTGCTAGATGGAGGTGTAGGTTTTGACAACCAATCTCATATGACAATTGCTGGTATTACCAATCGTCATCGCGTATGGATGGAGAGAGCATGCTTCTTCTTGGTTGAATGATAGTATGACTTTGGAGAGAGCAAAGTGGAGGGTGAATATTCGTGTGGATGTTTGACCTCTTTTCATCTTATTAATCTTTCTATCTTCTTTATCTTTCTTATGTCCTTTATACTTTTATCTTATCATTTTTACTTTTATCTCATCTTTTGCACCTTTTTTAATCTTATCTTATCCTTTTGTTTTTCTTATCTTTATTATCTTTTTAGCTCTGATTTTATGTGTTGATTCATGTTAGCCGACCTCAGATTGTTTTGAGACTAAGGCTTAAATGTTGTTGTTGTATCTATCTAGAGGGCGGCGGTACCACCCAAGGCAGCAGTAGCGCGTAGGGTTTATTGGATGCTTTTAATTTATTTTTTCTATTTTAATTATAATTACACCGAGAAATTTATTAAGGGTAGTTTTGTCAAGTCATTAGACTTATATTCCTACAAAACATGGAACTCCTATTTATGCACTTTTTCAATATTTTTGTCCAATTAAGGGAATTTTCTCTAAAAACAACCCCTAGTGGAACATCCATTTGAATCCAGAGGTAGTATGTAGTACCTTAACCCAATCAGGCAATGTAGCTCCAACGATGCTGTCACAGTATGGAAGATAGGGCTTGACATCGAGAACAGGCTGTGCATAGAGACCATGAAAACAGAGAGTGAATCACCATGCATAGATAGATATATAGCATTTAAATGATAGGAAATAGAGATGCCAGTATGGCTACAACAGAGAGGCAAAAAAATGCTTACAGTGCCATCAACCAGATCTATGCCAGAAAGAATAACAGCACCCCCACACACCGACTCCACCTGTAAAACATGAAAAGTAGCTCATCTCATAAAATAACTTCACAATGGCATTCGAGGCCATAAACAGCTTTGCTTGTCCCTAACTATTATTATAGAAAACCAAACTCTTATTCATTACTTTCTTTTTCTATTAAATTTTATCACATTCTTTTGGTTTTTTAGTCTAATGGAACTTCTAGTGGAGCTTTTAAATATGTAATTTTCCATTAACAAGACTAGATTAAATATTACTAAAAATAAGAGTTAATTACCTAAATAGGACTAAAAACATGCCTAAAATCACAAATAGGACTACCATGTTTTGAATTCCCTAAATAGGACTAATCATGTGTGTTTGGACAAATACACCCCTGTAGATTTTAGGACTAAAATAAATATTTAATAAAATTAATAAAAATAAAAAATTAGAAAAAAAAAATATAAATTTAAAAAAAAAACTTTAAAAATTAAAATAAAATAAATAAAAAACGTAAAAAAAATATACAGGCCTTTTCCGCCGCCTCTGCCACAGTACCACCCCCAGCACCACCAGCTTTGATCACCGGGAAATAAAGCCAACATGCATTAGTAATGCCATATCGGTGGCAGTTTCGGTGAAAATTTTGGCACTATCAAAGACTAAGAATGTCATTTTCAGGAAAAAATGGCATTTTTTTACCGATCTGGGGTATTGGTACCGGGAGGCGGTAGAGGCGGTGGGAAATGCATCCATATTTCTTTTGTATGTTTTTTTGTATAAATATATTGAAATATATTATGAATTTTTTATTGTATAAATATATTATGAATTTTTTATTATATTCTTACGAATTATATAATTTTATTTATGATTTTATTATGAATTAAAACATTTTATTATAAATCAATATCCTTAGGAGTATTAAGGGTAGAAAATTAATGTTTAGTCCTATTTGTGAATGATTTAGGTTTTAGTCCTATTTGTGCAATTAAGGTTCCATTTACTATAGAAATAATAGAGTCACATTCATGTTATGCATCATAAATTTAGCTAAAGTGACATAATTTTTTTCAATATAAGTAGGATGTTGTTGTTGTATAAGTAGGATTAATATCTTATTGCAGTTGTACCATGGTTTAAAAAAACTCTTTGTGGAGGTAGAAATAATCACCTTTCCAATTATAGAAGTATATTAAAGCATCATAAGTTTAAATATTCATAGGATTAGTTTTCATATAAAAAGAAAAATTACCCATGGCTATGTGTTGGGGGTGTTCTGGTGGCAAAGAGACATAATTAAAAGTTCTAGTTGAAAAACATTAAAAGTTCATAGTAGAGTACTACACCTAGGCAGTCTGCTATGTGTGCATCAGTCATCCGCTAACACATTCGGATCTACACTGCATGCAAGTGGCAATGCATTTTGGATACACTAATGGACCATTCATGCCCAAAAACGTAGAAATCGGCAAGCGAAATATTGTGAGACTAATTATATGGGGGTAATTCCTTAGAAGTAAATAAAGCTTAGTTGCAAGAATAGGACTATAAGTATTAAATTCCCTAAATAGGAGTAATTCTTCCTAACCTACCCTATCCCTGTTTTAATAAGTAAATCATATTTTTATTAATAATAAAAACATAAAAATAATTAAAAAAAAATTACTTATACTACCTGAAGTTTCTGAATATTATTTCCATGAATTCATTTACAAGAAGTACAGAAGCTATTTATACAGATAGGAATCCTGAGAGAGTCTATTCAGTACCCTACCCTAGGTGACTGTCTAAATACTAAACATAAATGATTGAGAACTGAAAAGACAGCAACTATTAAATACAACCTGAAGCACTAAAGACACATAATTACAGTAATAATAAGGAAAATAAATCCTAGATTAATGATGTCTCTTCTTTTTATCAACACTACCTTCGTCCCCCTAAGATTGGGACAAAACAGAGTGGTGCGATTTTTAAAAAAAATAGAGTTATGTGGTTGATAATGAATTGAAAAGGAGAGAATAAAGTAAGAATGAATAAGAGCCACACAAATATTACCAAATGTGGTATGGGACAAATTTAGTGAGATGGGCGGAAAAAAGAAAAAATGGGACAATTGTAGTGGGATAGAGCGAGTAATAAAACGTAAAAATAGAAAATAAAATAAAATGTAAATAAAATAAATAAAAATAAAAAGAGAAAAATAAAAAACATGATAAAAATAAAAAATAAAATAAAAAATGGAAAAAATATAAAAAATAAAATAAAAATGCGGGCCACTGCCACCGCATCAACCACCAGCCCTGATCACTAGAAAAAATGCCGACTTGCATAAAAATGACATCTTCATGGCAATTTCAGAGCAAGTTTTGGCATTTTCAGAGTAATAGCGCCATTTTTACAACATTTTCAGAGATGGTGGGAGAGCCCTCCATATTTTTTTTACTTTTGATGTGCTTTATTTATTTATTTCTATATATTTAAGTTTTTTTATTTTAGTGTTTTTAATTTTTTTTATTGTGTATTTCATTTTTTTTATTTTTTACAATCATATTTTAAGTTAAAATATTTTATGTTTTTATTATAAATAAAAAAGATTTTCCTATTAGGTTATGGACTTAATATAGACAGTAGGGAGAGAGTAGGAAAAGACAGTATAATTGACTCCTATTTTGGAAATATAGACATTATGGTCCTATTTTGGAATTTTGGGATCATCTGAGTCCTATTTGAGACCATTTTCACATTAATATGTCAGGGGCTATACAGCGAAAAATGACTCCATACTCCAAGGTTCTGCTATATTAACAATCTAATGAATGCATTTTCCACATCAGCACTTCTTTCACAGGTAACCAAACAACAATGTACACTATAATTGATTAATATACATTGCTGATATTTAACAATAAAAATGATTTGACTCATATTGTTTACAAAATATATTTGGGAAAGGGTCGAATAAGCTCCTATTAAAAAAATTACAGATACGTTTATTGCCAGGTCAGTTGACTTGATTGATTCTTTTTAGCTGTAGGTGATGATTTTGCAATAGGCCATTTGACCTGTTCCCATTAATTTTTAAAAAACATTTAATTTTGTTTAAAAAGATAAAAATATCAATCTAAAGAGAGTTGTATTAAAACCTCAGAGCTGAGTTTGACAATTATAATAAATACCTAAAAAACAAAGAGCAACATCTTGACCAGTGAATATATCGGACAAATAAAATGAGAGAACATTTAAGCACGTAAGATGCATGTTTAAAGAATTAAAGTCAAGCATTCAATTCAATCGATTGTACCTTCGCAACTGTTAGCCCAATGGGACATGGACGATGTGGAGATCTGGTTGCAAAGACACCCATCCTCCCGCCTTTCAACCTTGGCACTCTTACCTTGTTTTATTTAATAAAATCTACACTTTTCAGTCATCAGTGACTCAGTGCTGGAGAAATTAATAAATCTGAAAATCAAATAAACTGACCTTTGCCTTGAACTTCGAGCAAGAAGGGTTCTTCCATAACTTCTCTAGATCTGTATTTTGATGAAACACATAAACTATCCAGCAATGTGAATATCCTTCAAGACCCTCAAGAGAAGCTGGTGGAACTCGGGTTTGATTAAACAATAGGCGTGCTCTAGCAAGGGGTACTAATAGAGGTTGTCTTGGAGTTCCATTTCTGTACAAATACACAACTGTATTTTTATGAAAGCATTTTTTTATGACAGCATAACAACAACATCAAACATGTTTAAATGCATACAAACTTTATATATGGGAAAGTGGGAAACACAATGAAAGAAGTATTAAAAATCTGTGGCTTCACTTAGATGCAAAGTGGTTCCATAGTTATTACTTTGACCAATTCATGACTAACAATGAAGTATGTTAAACTTTCTACTGACTATGCATCAATAAATAAACTTTATGTCTACACTTTACAACAATAAAGGTTTTTGATGATTACAAAATCTTAAAACTAATTGAGAGTTGAGACAAGTGTTTTGCAATTGATAATAATATAGGTTCTGGGTTACTCTCTTACTCTTACTGGCCTTATGAAGGTTTTGGATAGGAGCGCTACAAAACTTTTGGCAAATGCGGTTAGAACAGAGGGATCATATCTAGCTAGATAGGGTTGGCGAAGGGTTTCCAGCATACACAGTGTAAAATTCATAGATAGATTTGAGCTATAATTTGCTTGGAGGTCATATTGTTCTGTTCTAGATGTCAATCTTCGCAGTGAGGGTGTCGAAACCCAAATTAAATCATAACTACATGCACAGTTTCGGTTGAGGGTGTCGAAACATTCATAAATGCTTACCTTTGTCTCCATTAAGTACTCACTTTAACAAAAGAGTATAAAATGTGATGGACTTTCTAAATTGTCTCTCGAATAGAGCCTACATAGGCACATAGACAAATCATTTAAAGAAAAATAAAAGATAATGGGCCAAGGTAATAAAAAAAGTTATTTGTGATTATATTGAAAAGGTGAACTTTTATTGGGCCGGTCTATTCCAAATAAAATTGGACAGGCTGACACAGGGGAAGCATTGTACTTGATGGCATTTATAGGCATGGCCTCCAAGTCCCCCATGGGACTACTTGAGTATGGGCCTGATCCCCATGGTTGGACAATGGACATCAGTTGGCCCACTGGCCACTGCCTTGATGGGGATCAGACCTCAGACACACCCCAATGAGAAGGATGAAGTTGGATGACCTATACACTACTACAAGGGCTGTGGGTCGAGTGGTCGACTCATGTATCTGATAACCACTTCATATTTTAAATTCACAAGCGCATGCTGATGATAGAATAGGAAGCTACCTAATGCGAGTCCGTGTTATAATAGGAAACTGCTTTGTTATATCTATATAAATATGCTTCCCTGTCTGGCTATCCAGAGTTAGGAACAACAACATCATGTTCGATAATACTGCATCCATCTCTAAAAAACTTAGTTTGACTTCTCTAGTCAAATTTATAATCATTGACCTCTAATATTTTATAAACTACGGAGTACATTATTTATAACCTAAAGCTCTCTTGATCAATTTGTGTCAATTTATATTTTTGAAATACTCTTATTATAACTTTTACTATTATATAAAAAATATGATCAAACATGACAATTGAAGACCAGGAAAATCAAATAGTGAAGTTCATGTAAGATTGTAAGAACGGAGGGAATATAGTTTAGCTTCACTCTCTTTCATATGTTTGATTGTTTTTACTATTTGTTCTTTGTTTATTTGTCCTTGATCAACAAAAACATATATAGGGTGTGTCCATTGAGCTAAAACAATCTAACGAATTCAAGCAATCCAATATCATCATGACCATGATGAGACGCTCCATTAGGAACAACAGTGTGTTGGGAAGAACTTGGGCAACCAAATCAGCCAGCCCTGAATGGTTGCCAACAAGGAACACCACATCCCAAGGCATTGGTTAAGGGGCACTAAACAGAAGTTATCTACTCCCGTGTTTCCTAACATTTGGGACGGTCTTATGTGTTGTAAATAAGAAAATCCATTCTCTCTATGGCTCACTAAACTATTTGCGCTTCTTTGTTATGAAGCACCAGTCAGTCCATGCAATTTTTGACGTAATTTTCTCCATTGGTCATCTGGAAACAGTCTCTCTGTGCTTTAGTACAGGGGTAAGGCTGCGTCCATTCAGCCCCCCGTTATCCCACCGTATGTGGGAGGTTGGGAGCCTCTGCGGCACTAGGGTAATGATGATAATGATGATGAGAAAATACAAGAAAAAAAACACAAAAAGTTCAGAGGGTGATTTATGGATTCTTACAAAATGGGAATCTAAAATGCAAACCAATACCCCTTTAAGATTACCTTGTAGAGAAGCATGATTGAACGGTAGCTATAGGTGTCATAGGATATGAGTTAAAGTCTGAATCATTAGAACAAGCTTTGGCCAGATCTTCCCTCAATGCCTACAATTTATATTTATAAATTTCGTAACATTGTAAAAAATCACAATTATCATAGTTCATGACATAGTATTATACTATTATATTTAGTATGAAAATAAGTTAAGTCAGGATTCAGGAACACCAAAAATGCTTGAACAATTAACCCTTCAAGGTTTAATGTCTATAAGTACGATAGAATTGAAGTTCACTAGGTTGCACAATTCCCTCCCCCTAGTTCAAAAACTACAACTTATTTTCCTACATTGAAAACAAGCCGTTCATCATAACATATGCCTTAGCGCTAATCTCCTTCGGTTGACCTCAACACCAACACATTCTTTTCACGTGCTCTTAAGACTCATGATCACATGCATTTCCTCTTCAGGTTTCTGAGCAAGGACCTCCTCCATTCAAGGAGGAATGAGATAAATACAGATTTAATTCTGCACAATGCTATTACAGCTAAGTTCTCTGACATTTATTTAGCATGCAAAACTCGACCCAAAATGTGAAATTTGGATTTAATGATTTGGTAACAAACATGACAATTTATTTTTTATGCAAGACTTGATCGTGATTTCTCAAATTTAGTTGGTTTGATAGTATGGATCAAAATGGTGGAAACAAGAAGACATGGATTACATAATTGTATTTGCTCATAAAGTTTGTTTGGATCAACTCATTGTGATTCCTAGTGTTTTAAGAGTATTTTCAGCTATGAACCTTATTCTTATTTCATTTCATAGGGAATTAAAATTACAGAGTATATGCTTAGTGATTGTAGCCTTGTCTCTCAGATTATCAGTCGTATCAAACAGTGTTTTTACCGCATTAGACTCTTTGACTTCCACACTTCAATTGTCTTATCAACCAGGTTGTAGCCTTATTATGGGATTTATTATCACTTCCACGCCTCAATCGTCTCTTTCACCACTTTTTGCTGACTTACCACTAGGAAATTCTGTTCGAATTAGAGAAATAATAAAAGAAGGGGGCACCTGCTGAGCTCTAATGCGGCCCCGCCTTTCAGAAGCACAGTTTTCTAAGGCTGTTTTCAGGGCCTGTTCAAGCTCTCGGAGTTTATCCTCAAGACCCAGCCTCCTTTTTCTCCTCCGAAAACAAACTGCTAGCCAATTGCATGGAAAGATATCAATCAATATGCTCACTGAGAGGGGATGGTGAGGGGAGAAAAAGAGAAAATGCAGTTATGAGTTACCTCCAATGGCTGAGGAAGCAAAGAATGAAAGTAATACGAGTGCTATGGAGCCAGCCAGCAATTTGGAAGCGGCCATAAAAGGGGTTCCCTAAACTTGATGGCAAATTATAAGGCGCATCCGCGCATTTATCAGATGGCACACATCTATCTACCATCCATTTTGTACAGAGATTTAAGGCGCATCCACGCATTTATAAGGCAAATTATATGTTTACCTCCATTCATAAAAAAAAAAAAATACACCCCAGAGGGCCTCCAACCCCGATCGGATGATACGTTGGAAAGATGTAAATTGTATTATAATCATAATCTGACAGATAGAGAGTGGGGCTCTGTCCTCTGTACTTGCAGAAGCCCTATTAATTTTTAGCATAGTAACCTCTCATCGCAGTTGACGGACTTCGAATCCGAGACCTAACCCTTGTGGCACTCCCTTGAACTACGTCCACCGGTTTTACCTCCATTTATCATTTGCTTGTAGACAACTTTATTTGCGTAAACAGAAAATGTGTGCGAATAATGTACACAAAATGTTTTGTGAGTAATACTTTTGATATGAGTAATTTGGCTCAATTGACATGAGTTTTTTAATGGATTAATGGACAATTCGAATTTTATTTTACATAGTATTATGTGAGTAATACTTTTGATACTCTTTTGAATATTTCCACTTAATTTTTCTATTATCATGTGAAAGACATGTGTGATATATGTTTGAAATGTTTCATATTTAACTCATTGGCTTGCGTGATTTTTTCTAAATATAGCATTGTTTCCATAGGTTTCCACTTTTGCTCCTACCAGGTGATAGAGACAATTGCTTGTTTGAGACTTTGCATTAGATTAAGGGTCCAATGGGGGCCACTGTTTTTTCTATTAATATATTATTGGCTCTGTCCCCCTAATATTGGGATGGAAAAGGAGTGGTTTAGTTTTAAAAAAATGTAGATTTATATGGTTGATAATGAGTTGATAAAGTGAGAATAAAGTAAGAATGAATTAGAGTCACACAAATGTTATGACACAAATGTTATGGTATGTGGCAATAATAGGGGATATCCAAAAATGAAAAAATGAGAATTATATTAAGTGTTAACAATGTTTTCATTTACTTGTTCATGATTTAATTGCCGTAAACTGTTTTTTTATGATTAGATAGACCCACTTGTATTTACGTTAATGGTAATGCAACACATAATCTAGCACATGCCTCAAGGAGTGCTAGACTGATAGGATATGTCTGAATAGGAATGCCAAGGATATTTCTATTACAATGACTATGTGTAAATCTTTCAGTAATTTAAACGGCGACTAAAAGAAGAAAATAGGTGGAATAGACGTTCTTCTCATTTACGGAACTTAAATAGGTATAGAGTCAATCCTGAGAATTAATTGATTTCCTAGAAAATAGGATCTTTAATAACTACAAAAAAATGTCTACTTTAAATACAATTATAATCTAGGTAGGAGATAATTCTACAATTAATTACAATTATTATGAGCCTAAAATAGGTGATTCTGTCCAACACTCCCTCTCAAGTTGGGGCAAAAATGTCATTCATGCTCAGCTTGACTAGAAAATCTTCAAATGTTTGTTTGTATAGCCCTTTGGTCAGAATGTCGGCGAGTTGATCTGATGTAGGGCCGTAGGGTATACATGATTGTGATAACTTATTGTCACAAAACAGCTTCATTGGCATTTTTGTCTTCACCTTCAGCTCATTGAGAATGCTTCTTGACACCACATGTTGTTTTTTACTTATCTACTCGGTGAGTACTCGGCAGAAAAAGATATGTAATACTTCTTTTTTGAAATGAATTGTATACCATCAGACTATCAGAGTTAGTTTGTTAAACAAATAACTAGAAATAAGTTGAAATGTATGAGAAAGATACTGCTCATGTATAAATGTTGCTTCCATGTTTGAGCAATTCTAGCCTTCTAGATAAGCCACTAGGCCTACACACTCTGGCTAAACCTTCCTCGTAGTAATACTTCTTTACAGTAATAATATTAGTAATCCATAAGTCCACTACTGCTAAGAGAACTGAAAACAATTAGAAAAGATCATCTAGTCGACAAGTACTTTGGCTTCATAATTTAATTCTCAAACAAGAGCATTCTGATGTCTACTTTGATACTGAGCTTCATGCACTAGTAGACTTAAAGTGGTATTCGTCAATTGTTGAGTAAACAAGACCTTCTGCTTCAAGAGACACAATTGCTTCCCTGATGTTCAAAATTCAAAAGGGTCAATCAATATTAGAAAAAAATGTAGTACACAATCATTTGCCCTATAGGTGGAGAGAACGAGAGATGTACAAAATCTTAGCCACAGGCACTTTGCGCCGTTGTTCAGTCTCAATCCGGACTTTAAGCTGTTCTGCAATCTCATCACGGTGTATTCCCTTTTCCTGTGCACTGAATCATAGGACAACATTAAGGCTTTCTCTGGATCACAGAGGATACTAGTTAAAGGAAAGAAAATGCTTAAGAATGCTAATTTTTTATGCTTGGTAAGTTGGAAAGAAAAGTGAAATATGATCCATCTTTCTAGTGTTTTACATATAATTCCGTTGCTTAATTATAAAAAAGATAACTATAAGTAATAAACTTAAGCAAATACTAAATCTAAATTTTAGGTTTGAACCAATATTTTTTTCTCAAGATTAGTTTCCTTCCAAATTTGTCACACTTTCCTCTTATTTATTTCCTTCCAAATTTGTCACCCTTTCCTCCTTATTTTATTTCCCTAGCATTTACGTACAAACCCTAACAGTTAAAGCCAAATTTGGACTCTGAAATGAAAACATTGCAGAGCCTGTGAATCTGTAATGCACAAAGGAATAAACACAATAAAGAACCTATTTTACTCAATAATTGAGTAGATAACCGATCTTCTTTATAATAGTTTCAAAGTTAATAACAATGTGAAATACAAAAAAAAAATATTTAGCACTACCTCCGTCCCTAAATGGTAGTCCTACTTTACTATTCACCAGTCAACACAATTCAATTTTAATCTCTCATTATATATATCAAATTTTTATCATATTCAACTAAAAAATTATAAATATATAAATTTTAATTGTTACTTGTACATACAATTAGTCAGGGAGAGTTTTACTTTTTCATCAGTCAAACATACACAACAGGACTATCAATTTGGGACAAAGGAAGTAACATTATATATATACACAACCACCAAGCCTTAGTTTCCAAGGATTCTTAAGAATACGATATAAATAAACATACCCATAGAATCATAAAGTCAATTTTTATGTTAACAGGGGATTAAAGGCTATTCTATTAAGGCAGTGTGCTACAGCTTATAAATTGACTGTCTCCTTAAAAGCTTAGGCCTTAAGTAGGGGCCATAAACTGGCCTTAAGAATATTGGGTCCACAACTTACATTGATGAAGGCTGGTGCAAAAAATCCATCACCATTTTTTCAATATCCTTGAGCCCATCCACTGCGTACTGTCCAGATAACTGACAAAGGAAACAAGCAGAAAGGAGTTGGTACAACAGATAGGGATCCACCCTTACTATGTAACAATGATGGACTTACTTGGTCAGTGGAGGTGGAATTTTGTCCAATTAATGGAGTGTTCACATGTGAAAGCCCATTGGATGGATTCTGGATGGAGAGGTTACCCTATACATACCAAAATGAGTATTGCAGATTATTAACACCATAGTTGAGCAAAAGCATGACAAGCCAGTCTTAAGTAAACAGATACCTTTGACTTTGTATTGCAATGATGAACATAGATACATTCAAGAAAGTGGTGTGCAATCATGTTATAGTCAGTTACAGGCCTGAGAAGGGTACAAAAAATCAGAATTTAAACATAGAACAAGGAACTAGAGATGAACATGATCAAATTCTTGGCATCTAAGTATTACAGCAATCTCCAAAAAAACACTTTAAAAGTTTCTGTATATAACTAGTGCAAATGCCTTCAAATAGAAACAAGTAGTTGGTTTTACTTGATGTTACGTAGTATTTCTTTTGGCAGTTTTCTTACACTGGCTTTAAAGAAGTTAATGTAACAGCTTGGGGTGTGTACTTTCCCTTCCATATTTGAAGCAACTATTGTGTGCAATACTTTACAATTTAGTATCATATAGAAGTGAGAGAATGATACAAGGAATTTGTAAACTAATGTGTAGCTAGACTACATAAATCTTATGATTGTTCTATAGGGTTCCTAAGCTTATATGATAACTCAAGCAGAAGTCATTTTTCTTGAATAAAGGGCAAAATTTGAAGAACATTTACCTTATTGCGAAGCTCATAATCAGCATCTTATCCTGAAAGCTTTTCAAGTGCCCATGGACAACAACGTACATCCCATCCCTAATTTTAAACACAGTTAATGGGCAAAGGCTTCCAAGTTAACTATATCTGGATATTCAATGAGCTTATACTTACGATACTCCTTCTACTTCATTGTTGTCCACAGCATCATTTAACCTTAAAAGTGGTAAAAAATCAGAAGATCAAAACCCGGTGAACAGGTTGCATGAAAAAGAACATCAAGATTTACTTTCATTTCATACTTCTATTGAGTAAAAAGCAGATAACTTTGCATGATTACTATGTTCTTTCAAGAAAATTATAAAGGTTTCTGACAAATCTAACCATCTATTGCATTCCATGCTACCAGTTCCATCATCAATCTTAAACGTTACATCAGTGACCCTCTGGGATTTCTTGAATGCCATCCCCACCACTCTCACCTGCATAAAAACTAATTATAGTTACAATACAATCAAATTCTACGATAAAGAATTAACTACGTATTAACTACAACATATTTATTATTTATAATAATTCTTTAACAAGCCCTACATTTCCAACATCGATGCCATCAATCTGGAAACTTGACTTGTCGTTGCTCGATTTAACTGCCTGGCTGATTTGCTTCATTGTCAGTGGAAGCAGAGGCGTTTGATCGCGAGTCTACCAAAAAAGTCAGGGCAAAAGAAAACACATTTTAGATATAAAGCCGATCAACAATTAAATTTAAGAAGGTAATACATAAATACACATGTTACTTAATTATATACCTTGGCGGATGAAAGAGATGTGTCGGAGCCTTGGCCCTGCGTGGACTGGGATGCAACAAAACCTCCGCCGGAGAAGGCGGCGGCGGAGTCGAATTGGCTGAAGCTTCCGAACATTTTCCGCTCTGCCTTGTTTCTTGATGGTCTTTGAACTTCAAATTTGGGGCGAAAAGATACACTGCGTAGTGGAGGGATAATCGAGCGGCGGGTAGGTTAACAGGTTATGAAGTGTATTATCCGAGGTGTGGGTGGGTTTGCGGATGAGAGCGCTACAAAATCCACGGAGTAACTTAATAATTGAGCGGGAAGGTCAAAAACTCCCGCCTTTAAACAATTTTTTCTCCAACTCCTACCTCCTCATATTTAAATCATACTCTCTCCGTTTCTGAAACAAGTTCCACCTTTCCTTTTCGGGTAGATTCAAAATTAAGTTCCACTTTCAAACATTTCCTTATTATCTACATCAAAACAGTGTCAAACAGTGTTCAAACAGTGCCATACAGTGCACTCCACAGTAAAGTCAATTTTATTTTCTTAATATGTGTGAAGTCAAATGTGTAACTTGTTTAGGAATCGGAGGGAGTATTTAAATACTCACGTTGATTTGACATGTTTTTAGGTGAAAACGTAAATATAAGTGACTTATGGATATAAATCATATTTAAATACTCACTTTTATTTTGAATCATATTTAAATCATATTTAAGTACTCACTATGATTTGAAATGTTTTTGGTTATGAATATAAATCTATTTATATCCATAACCAAACCATTAAAATGGGGTAAAAGTAAAGGGGACACCACATTACCTTAAAAATAGGGAAAATAGAGTCTACTCATGTTATTCATGTAATGGGATTCGTTCGAACAAATTACACCAAAGAAGAAAGAGAGTGCCATTTCACTTCCATCTGAAACCCAAACTAGAAATGTTTTGGGGGCATTTCCTTCCCAAGTTATTTTCACCCTACATAAATGAACACCATTAACTCAATTCAACACTTCAACAGTACCACACATATTGTCTTCTATGCTTGAAATGGAAACTTCTTCATTTTTGAAGTCCTCTTTTACGTACCACCCCTCATCCTTCCTCTTTTGAAATTCCTTCTACACCCTTTGGTCTTAATCTCCCGCCTTTAGAAGATGACAAACATCATCTTCTTCAAAACGTACATGCACCAGAGGTTACACAACACCAAAGTCAACCACAGAACATGAAAAACAAAAGTGGCCAAAGTTAACTACAAAAAAGAGAAGCGGAATAATAGAGGTATTAGTAAGCCAAGCAACGGATGGAAAAATTCAGAGGGCGTTATAACAAAGTTGACCAATAAGTTTAACATTTCTAGAAGGACTGTACACAAGCTGTGGGCGGTAGCATACCACGAATGCAGTGTGGGGCAACGATAAATGTGCAAAGTAAATTGACATGTAATGTAGGATAAAAAAGAGTTCAATTTGGCATGCAACAAATGTCACATATCCCTTTTCATCATAGGAAAAAACATGAGATCTTTGGCATATGCAATGAATGTCTCAAAGTAAACTTGTGCGCCATTGGTTGAAGACAAAGAAAATAAAAAGGCATTCTAACTCCCATAAAGCCTTTGTTGACAAAAAAGAGAAGCAAAAAAGGTTAGAGTTTTATCTCGGTCATATCCTGCCTCAATCACTACCCCCCCCCCCCCCCCCCATCTTTCATGATCTCTATGACCATATACACATAGATGAGCAGTGGTTCTACCTTTCTAAAGAATCAACAACTTTTTACACCTTCCCAAATGAAGAGGACCCATACATAATTGCCCAGTCCAAAAATGTCATACCAAAAGCAATGTTCATTGTTGCAGTAGGTAGGCTTGGGTTGGGAGCTACGGGGGAGGTAATATGGGATGGTAAAATTGGTATTTTTTGCATTCACCTAAGAGACTAAGGCCACTATAAGTGTGACCAGACCAGTCATCAAAGACATGATTTTAAACAAAACACTATCAGCAATCAAACAAAATTGGTCAGGTGCTGAAAACAAATAAGTTATCATACAACAGGACAATGTTAGACCACATATAAATGTGAATGATGCTCACTTTGTGAAGAGAGGGATACAAGATGGATGCAAAATCCAACTCCTTTGTCAGTCACCAAAGAGCCCTGATCAGAATGTGCTGGACTTGGGATTCTTTAGGGCTACTGACTCTTTAAAAGATCAGAAAGCCCCAAAATCCATCAAGGATTTAATACATTTCGTATAAACATATGATGAGCTAATTGCTTAGACTTTAAATAAGGCCTTTTTAATCTATCAGCATGTAATGGAAGAGATTCTCAAGCATAATAGCTGAAACAAATTCAAACTCAGACATGTTGGAAAAGATATGTTGGAAAGACAAGGTTTATAATTGAAAAATGTCCATATCAATCAACAATTATATGAGGCAGCAAAAACACACCTGGATGGACAAATAGCAACAAACACATCAGGTGAAAATGTAGGGACTTGTTCACAAGATGAAGATTATCAGGATCTTTAACTATGAAGTGTCATACACGAGAATTACCGTTTTTGAAAACTTTTCTTAGTACACATTTTTGTCAACATGTAGGTGTACTGTTTTTGTATGTACTTTTTCGTGCAGGTAAGCACAATAGTTTAGTGTACTTACTATTGCAAGTTTACAATTATTAGTGTTAGCACAATTGAACAATGAACTGTGTATCACATTTTTTGCCAAGTCTAATGAACTGTGTATCACATTTTGTCTAAACTCTCACCTCCTGCACTTGTATTAGTGGGCTGCATAAGTACACAAATTCATAAGTATAGCAAACCACACACAAACTCACAACACACAACAATTCACAAATTGTTAAACTCAAAGCATGCAATCATCATCAGTTTCACATTACAACCTAGGGGACATAAGGATGCACACATGACATAAATGAACCGTGCAACACAATTACACATGGAGAAAGGGAGAGCACTGCCCTTAGAAGTGTGAACTTCAAATTATGCCCCCAGTGTGCAACTCGAAGTCATCTTCTTCCCTCGACCCATGGTTAGAATTTGACGCTCCTCTTTCACTCTCAATGGCTGCCAATGTCACCTCTTCTCCTTCTTCCTCCAAGCCATCAAGTCCTTCGTACGTATCGCTCACCATATTGGAATCATACGTATCGAACAACGATTGGTACACTACTAGATTTTTGCTCATTTGCTGCTCCTTATTTGATGCGGTCATAAATGAAACCGCAGCAATAACTCGAAAAATGAACTTAATTGCCGCGGTTAGTACTGAACCGTAACAAATAGTACACATTTTTTGAGTTATTTGCTGCGATCAGGGAGAACCGCAACAAATAGTGTATATATTTAGGAGTTATTTGCTTCGGTCATATGGAAACCACAGCAATTACTTGATATTTTCAAATTATTAGCTGGGGAGTAACAGAACTGCATCAATCAAGTATGAGACGGAACAAAAGTCGAATTTTTTTACAAGGGCTTCATCTCCTCTTTCAGCGCTATCCAACTCTGTCGTCTCGGTCCTCCGGCTCACACCGCCTCAGTCTCGGGACCCCCCGCGCGCCTCCATCCAGCCATTTAGCACAACCGCCTCACGCCTTCGCCCAGCACAACCGCCTCATGCCTCTGCCAGCAAGGCTGCCTCACACCTCCACAAAAAACCCAAACTATGATTGACTGCGCCTGGCAAATTGAGGTGGACGGTGGCTTCTGCTTTTGTGGCTAGTTGAGCCGATCTTGGGAGATGACGATGATGAGTTTAGCGATGGACGACGATATGTGACGAGGATGACCAACGGCGGAACTAGGCGCTTCAGGATGTTGTATGGTTCACTTTACGTTGACCCCTTCCTTTACTTTGATTGCTATGTGTTTGCATAAATCTTCGTATGAACTTGAGTAATGAAAGTTATTTTTCTCAAAAGTATAATGACTGTGCTTATTCACAAAAACATATGAATCTCTTAGTTACGAGTATGCTAATCTATTATGTTAAACCAGCACAATATTCAATATTCACAAAAACATATGAATCAACTTCTATATTTGTTTTGGGCAGATGGTGTGATGTCTGTTAATGTTGAAGATGAATTTAAAAAGTTTCAAAAGGAGCTCAAGCAGGCTGAGCAAGAGATCAATGATGATACATACAGACCATCCACCCCACCTGAGGGTGAAGAGGAATTCACTGATGATGATGGTACAGAATACAAGTGGGATAAGGTTATTAGGGCTTGGGTTCCTCAGGTTGACTATTTGAACCTAAACACTTGTTTAAGTGATTGTATAATGCAGCCACTCCCTTCATTCCAAAATAACCATCCTGTGAGGAAAATTTGCCGTTTTATGGTGATAATAATTCCTTTCCTAAATTGACAAACTTGCCACTGTTATTTTCTAGATATTAAAGGTAACAAGTAAAAATGAAATGTATATGGAGGGAAAATGGGAAATGTAGTCATTTACTATGTTTTATTACATCGGTTTGCTTAATGGACATTTATTTTTGAACTATTTTCTTTAGCTAATGGACACTTATTTAAGAACAACAGGAGTATCTTGTAAGGCTCTAACTTTGCTTTTTAGAAGAAAAAAAATATTGTCCTCTCTAGACTCTAGGTGACTGTATGCATAATGATATATTGTCATTAATTCATCATTTGTACAACTTTGTAGCATTAGCTATTTAGATTTTGTGTGTGATCTCGATGCTATAAAATGATTAAATGAGACGCAACTCTAATAGGAAACTTAATCTGAAAGAAATATGTATGGTATGGAAGACATGGTTTTTGTCAAGGAGGAAGAAGTCTTTCCAACCATAGAAACATATGATTTTCTTGAAAAGAAAGTTGAGGATAATGGAAAAGGGAACATCTTTACTACTAGTCATGCTGCTGCTGCTACTACTACAGAGGATATCAAAGAGTATACTGATACATCGAGGGAAACAAGTAATAACAAGAGAAAGCTGCCTGAGGAAACTTCTGAAAAGAAGGTTACTATCTTCTGTCACCTATTTGATTGGTTTTTAGACTTGATCTATACTTTATTCTGCACTTGCTCAATTTGAACTTCCGATGGCAGTTTCTTATCACTCATATGTGAAGAGGTGTTATATGTTTCTGAAATTACACAAATATGTTTCTTGCCACTCCTTAGGTTGCCATTCATGAAGCAATGGAACAGCAAACAATAAGAATTACAAAAGCTAGTATTCAAGCAACACTAAATGCTCGAACATCAATTTTAGCTGCTGCCAACCCCACTGGAGGCTGGTATGAAAGGTACTTTTTATGCTTTGTACAACAATTTCCTTAATGTCAATTTACCCATTATTTTTTCTCTGATTTATATTATTGAAATCTTCTCAACTGATCACTAATCTTAAGTCTTCTTCTGCCCAATTGACCGAATTCTTCCCTTTGATGTGCCCGTTTCATTTAATGGTAGTATTAGATAACCAAGTAAAGATGTGTAACTTTGATATACTACCATATAGATACTTTTATATGTCAACCAACTATAAGCTCTTCTTTATATGGTAGATACTTTTATATAGTGTACTTTTATACCATATAGGACTTGTATCTTGGGAATCTTAGAAATGGAGTCTGGTTTTACATCATCAACTTGGTCCCTGACAGATATAAGTCTCTGAGGTTAGTGAAGTTTCCACGCTTCTCTGCAGATTCACTCTCAAGTATTGTAGGGAAAGATTAAGAGACATTGACCTTGCATAGGTGTCACGTCAGGTTACATATATACCTGTCATGCTTAGCTACTAGGCTATTCATGGACAGAACATTTGGTGATGCCAAATTTTAAAAAATAGTCACTTTATATTCGATAGACAAACTTGGCTGGGTGATAAGCTAAAAGAATAACAGGGTAAAGGTGGGCCTCCGTTAAAATTGAAGTATAACATACTGCATTTCTTTCTTCACTGTACTACTACAAAACAAACTTCTTTTATCTGGTTTTGAAGACTGCAAAATTGAAATATTTCTTACTGCATTTCTTTCTTCATTCTCACGTTGATTGGGGCATCTTCTTGACAGAGCAGGTGAACGGTTGAGCCCTTGGGTGGTAGTGGGATGCTTGACCATTCACATTGTCATATCCGTTCACATTGATAGGTGCCTTTTTGTTTACTTTGATATTTAGGAGATTGATTAATAATACATCATTGCTCACTACATCATTGTTTGCCCTTTTGCCACTTGTATGATTATTATGATACATATGTGTTTCTCTAATTATGTGTTTTTAATATTTTAGGTTTCCTGGAGTACCAGAAGAGATCAATCTTTGTCGAGAGATGAAGTGTGTGAAGCTTGTGATGCATTGGTGATACAAGTGTGTGATAATTTATTGTAAACTACTACGTATTAGTTTTTATAAACTTTAAAAGATGAGGATTTCTATTGTATGCATAATGAACTTTGGTGATGTATACCTTAGTTCTTTTAGAATTATGGTTTCAGTTTGTGATGTAAGATGCTCTTGTTGTAATTTGAATGTTTCTTATTTTATAAATAGCATATGTTTTGGTTTGAAACATCATGTTTGTAAACTTGGCCATTTGGGTAATGGAACAAAACAAAAATAAATATTGCAATTTTAGCTTTTTTTGAATATTTTTTGCTGCAAAAAAATTAAAAAAATAATACTATTTGTTGCGGTTCAGAACCGCAACAATAAGTCAAAAATTTGATTTTTTTAAAAAGCTATTTGCTGCGGTTCCGAACCGCAGCAATACGTCAAAATTCGTTTTTTTAAATAGCCATTTGTTGCGGTTCTGAACCGCAACAAATACATTTTCCTACAATTTGCTGCTCCGCCAATTGATGCGCTTCAAAACCGCAGCAAATAGCTAAAAATGACCGCACAAATAGCTATTTTTCTAGTAGTGGTAAATATGGATGTACGGGTCTTGCATGATCACCATATAGAATGGACAAAGATTTAGCTTCAAAAGAAAGAGGTGGATTCGAACTTGCCTCGTTGTGCAGATATGAGGTTTCAAAGGACTTCAAACCTTTCAGATCCGAGTCGAGTGTTGACTTGTGAAGGTGCTTAGTAAGCTAACTGATGTCGTTATCAGCGATCAGACCGACCATAGGACGGTTTCGTTTGGAATAATGTCCATCCATTTTTGGTGGTGTGAGAAAGGTGGAGAAGCGGGCAACAAAGGAGAACAAGGAGATGAGATAACTCGCGGGATACGCCGGAGAAGGGAGAAGTGGACCGGTAGAAGAGAGAAGGTAGAAGGAGAGAAGAAGACTGACATACTCGAATGGATGAGAATGGGTGGTGCATAGAACGTAGGGATTAAATTGGGCGGTGGTTGTAGGGATTAAATAGGGGTGTAGGTAGTTGAAGAGCGTAAATGAGGGTAAATGGGATGAGGATATTTGTGTCTTTTACCTCAAGAAACTTTCCTAAAGTGGAAGTGTAAACTTAAATATGAGACATCCCAAAAGGAAAAGTGGGAACATAAATACGGGACGGACGGAGTATAAGAATTAATAGTCCCCAACTTGGCAACGTACTGCACTGTTTAATGTAATGAACTCAATTGGAATAGTGATATCATTCTCTCATTAAGTAATATACTCCTGTGGGGATTCGTCCTATATGCAGGGCAGTAGGGCTAGGTACGAAAAATCGTAACCGCTTAACCGTGATAAATGACCGAAAAATCTGTGTTTTTTCTGATTAACCATATCATATTTTTAAAATCATGCGGTACGGTTGATCAATCGATAGAAAAACGATATATGATACGGTTTCAGTTATGAAATTAAATATATCGTCAGTTAACTAACAATTCAAAGTTAAGTATTACTCCCAAATTTATACTTACACTGCAAATTAACTCATCTGCCAATTTTAGCAAACTGTTGAGAGTGGTGAGCTCGTGAAAATGAAAACTACATATATAGGAAACGTTCTAGAATTTCAAAACAGGACCGCTATGATTTTCTTCATGAAATAAGAGTAATTATGTCATAATTGAAAAAAAATTGTCATCAATGACAATAAATATCGCGATATTAATGCCTAGTATTGTAACTATTTTGACAGTCATGACTCTAAGATGTCAGTATATATTGTCACGTTACTTCTATTTCGGGAAGAAAATATAGCAGTCCTATCTGAGAGTTCCAAAATTTGTTTATTCCTATTTCGGGAATTTTCCCATGGATTATTTATGATGTAATTAGAAGCGCAATTTATTCATTCAACAATAAAACAAACTTAGTCATCAGGTTGCAATAATTTCTAATAGCATATTATTATTATTATTACAAGCATCATCATCATCATCATTATTTCACGAAGGATGTCTACTTTATCGGGTGGGATCGTTACAATACCCCACGCTTCGAAGAACCAACGTCCTCATGATTAGTCACGGCTAGAACCATGTCTTTTGTTGGAAGAAGTTTTACAATTTTTTTCAAGAATTACTTTTTTTTTATCTTGAATATGTTTTATAGAATGACCTGCTCTAAAAGATCCATGTCACCCTTTTCCTTGTAAACTAAAACATCAGTGCACAGGGCTACGACGCCAATACGCCGCTGATGTTAGTGACAGACTCAGAAGTTTTCTCAGGAAGGGGGGGGGGGCACTGTCATGTGGGTGGGAACAGGTCGGTTCGGGTCAAGTGTACCTTTGGTCTATTGTATCTAACCCTTTTAGATTATAATTTTTTTTAACCGAAAATAGATTATTTAATGCCATTTTCAAGCATGAACATATGTGGATTGTATTGTACTCTTTAATACAATTCCGAATAATAATAATATTTAACTTTTTGAAAGAAAGACATAATTTAAATCATCATGGCACTGTTTCAAATCTTACACTAGAATTTTCGTTATTTTTCATACTATAAAATGGTTAAAATTTTAGTTTAGAACTATGGTCATATCGAATACTACATATAGTGCCACAACATTTGTTGGTGACCGTTTGTAATATAAAACTAATGTGTTAGAAAATAAAGTATAACTCAAGTTTGTTATTTCATCTTTCAATACAACTTAATTTAATAACATAATTTTAGCATATTGCATTACAAACATCAAAGGGTCTGTCATAGTCTAACACTAATTTATCGCAAAATTGACACATTCTTTCATGTATGAATTTTTATTCAAGATAAAAGTCTTCAATTCATTAAATTCATCTCACATACTAAAAAACTTGTCATATCTTTGACCTCTAATTTTGGACGAACATTATTCATACTTAGCAAAAAATCATAAATGCCACTTTTCAAAGAAAGTGTAGTAACTATACCAACATTATGTGTAACCGTTAGGAATCCCTCCATCATCACTTTGTGGCCATTTATATTTGTTATTACAATTGTTATATGTTATTTGACAAAATTATCCTCATATTCGACAGTATTACTAATATTAATTTTCGAGGTAAGAAGCGGGACAATAATTATAGTAGCAACTACAGTGGGAATAGTTTATATTCAATTTTTACACTCGAATAATCACAAAACTATACTCATAATAATTGTAATCATATTTCCCTCAAGTAATTGTTTTTAATACATAGTAAATTTTTTAAAACAGAAGGTGGAGTGTTAGATTGCATTTTGAGACATGGAATGTTGGGTCTCTTACAGGCAGATCTTCAAAGGTAGTCGAGGTTATGAGGAGAAGGAATATCAACATTATATGTGTGCAAGAAACTAAATGGGTTGGAGAGAAAACACGCGAGATTAATTCTGGAGGTTTTAAGTTGTGGTATTCGGGGAGAGATAAGACCAGAAATGGGGTAGGCATTATTGTGGCGCGTGACTATGTTGAGGATGTGGTAGAAGTCTTCAGGAAGAACGATCGCATCATGAGCATTAAATTGGTGATAAGGGGTGAGATTGTGTCTGTGGTAAGTGCCTATGCACCACAAGTGGGATTGGATGCATCTACAACTCAACAATTCTGGGAAGATCTTGAAGACGTGGTGCGACGAGTGCTAAGGGGAGAGAAGTTGATCATAGGATGTGACCTTAACGGGCATGTGCCGAGTCGTGATGGCTTTGAGAGTATTCATGGCGGACATGATTTTGGCACTAGGAATGAGGCGGGAAAGAACATTTTGGATTTTGCCTTGACGTATGAGTTGACTATAATGAACACTTGATTTAAGAAAAGAGACTCTCACCTTGTAACCTATAAAAGTGGAGCTAATAGTACCCAAATTGACTACTTCTTACTACGGACCACTTGGAGAACTAGCTACACTGATTGTAAGGTTATTCCAGGTGAGAGTGTTGTCACTCAGCATAGGATCCTTGTGCTTGACTTTCAAAGTATGATGGATTATAGAGATCCAAACATATATAATTAGGAGAGAATTGAGCTCAAGAATGTGGAGAAGATGAATGAATAGTGGTATTGTTTGTGTGATAATGATTCTAGGGTTACAAGTCTCCCAAAGGGATATAAATAGACAAATAATTGGTCGGGCCGCTAATATGGGCCCGATAGGCCCAATTACATAAAAGGCTAATCTAGTACATACAAATGATATATGAACCCTACAATAATTCAAATGATATAAATGACGTTCGATAAGCGTGTGTGGGCCGCTGTCCGGGCCCAATAGTCGTGAGACCCGGGGGTCCGAGTCTATATACTCTATCAAGGTAAGGACCATAGAAGACAAGTTAAACAACAAGTGGAGCCAAAGATAAAGTGGTGGAGGCTTGAGGGAGATCTTCAACAAAGCTTTACACACAAAATGGTCGATGAAGATGTATGATGTATTATTGACAATGAAACACATGTGGATGATGTGTGGTTATCAATGGAGTTGACCATTAACAAAGTGGCAAATGAGGTACTTGGAGAATCTAAAGGATGTCTGCCACCTAAAAAGGACACGTCTTGGTGGAATGATGAGTTGAAACAAGCCATAAGGAACAAAAGAGATTGCTACAAAAAGTTGGGGACAAGTTGGAGTAATGAGAACATAGAAGCATACAAGGAGGCTAAAAGACAAGCAAAGAAAGCCGTAAGGGAAGCACAAGGGAAAGTGAACAAGGAGTTGTATGAAAAGTTGGACTCTAAGGAAGGAGAACTAGATATTTATAGGCTTGCTCGTCTTCGTGATCGCATGACTCGAGATATTGCAAAAGTTAAGTGTGTGAAGGATGTCGATCAGAGGATATTAATGGACGACGGAGAGATAAAAGAGAGGTGGAGGTCATACTTTGATACACTATTCAACGGGAACAAAACGCAAGATATCAGTGATTTGTCCATACCAGATTGTATGGTAAATCGTGATTTTGTGAGAAGGATCCAAACAATGGAAGTTAAAGAAGCTCTGAGGAAGATGGGACGGAAGAAAGCAGTGGGTCCAGATGGCATACCAATCGAGGCTTGGAGAAGTTTGGGAGAAAGAGACGTCGAGTGTTTAACAAGTTTTTCAACATGATTTGGAGAAACAACAAGATGCCAACGAGTTGGAGGAAGAGTACTCTTATCCTCTTATTTAAGAATAAAGGTGATGTACAAGAACGTGCCAACTATCGAGGGATTAAGCTTATGAGTCACACGATGAAACTTTGGCAGTGAGTGATTGAGCAAAGACTTCGAAGAACTGTGAAGATTTCAGAGAATCAATTCGGTTTTATGCCTGGTCGTTCAACAACTGAGGCCATTCACCTTCTTCAGCAACTTATGGAGAAGTATAGAGACACTCATAAGGATCTGCATTTGGTGTTCATTGACTTAGAAACGGCATATGATATGGTACCTCAGGAAGTTCTTTGGTGGGTCTTAACTAGGAAAGGCATATCACGCAAGTATATAAGCATCATCATGGATATGTATGAATGAGGATTGTACTACAAGTGTCTGTACTAGTGTAGGGAGGACCGAAGAGTTCCTTATCACTATCAGAGTGCACCAAGGATCGGCTCTGAGCCCTTTCTTATCTGCCATAGTCATGGATGAACTTACGAAGTCAATTCAAGATGATATACCGTGGTGCATGATGTTTGCCGACGATATTGTATTGATTGATGAGATGTAATCAGGTCTTAAATCAAAGTTGGAAGTATGGCGACAAACATTGGAGAATAAGGGTTTCAAACTAAGTCGGAGTAAGACAAAGTACATGGAGTGCAAGTTTGGTGGAGGTAGAAGCAGTGGTAATAGCGAAATTACTCTGGATGGTAAGGAGATACCAGTCAGCGATATGTTCCGTTACTTGGGCTCCATAATTCAGAAGGACGGTGAGTTAGATGGAGATGTATCCCATATAATCTAAACAGAGTGGATGAAGCGGAAGAGTGCGTCAGGATTTCTATGCGATCAAGGTATGCCATATAGACTAAAGGGTAAATTTTATAGGACAACAATTAGACCTGCATTACTGTATGACGTAGAGTGTTGGGCGGTGAAACAATGTCACATTCAAAAGATGAGTGTGGCAGAGATGTGAATGCTGCGTTGGATCTGTGAGCATACTAGGAAGGACCACGTGAGGAATGAGGCAATCAGACAAAGGGTGAGAGTAGCACATATTGAAGACAAGATGCGGGAGTCGCACCTACGGTGGTTTGGTCATGTGCGTAGAAGACCGAGTGATGCACCTATCAGACGAGTTGAGATGTGTGGAGAAGAGACAGGGAAGAGAGGAAGAAGAAGACCCAAAAATACGTGGGTTGGAGGAGTTCGAAGTGATATGCTTCTTCTGGGGTTAAATGAGAGCATGACTTTGGAAAGAGCTAAGTGAAGGACGGGTATTCATGTGGAGGAGTGATCTCGTATCATCTTTTCCCCTCATCTTTTTTCCTTGTTCTTTATCCTTATATATAAGGATTATTTGTATTCTTTTTATTTTATCATTTTTATGTATATTCATCTATTTTTATATTATCTTTTTATAATAACTTATCTCTTTTATCTTTATTTTCTTTCTTTTCTTTTTGGTGGTGATATCATGTATCCATTCTTGTTAGCCAACCCCAATATCTTTTGGGACTAAGGCTTGGATGTTGTTGTTGTAGTAAAATTTTTAAAAGACCAAATTTTGTATAGCATTATCCGGCTACGGCCTACGGGAAAACATAGGAGTTCTCACTTCTCAGCATAACATCTCAAAACTCCATGCACACTAGACTCCAAGTATAACCACATGACTATAACTCTACAACTCCAAGTACGTTATTAAAACCACATGAGCACTAAATGATGTCATGTGTGGCCGATCAGTTTGTCATTCCAATGAACTTGCCTAGAACGTGGGCATGAAATATTGCTGGCACATACATGCTTTATGTGCTTCAACATATTAGATGAATTACAGAATTTGTATAGAATTGACAAGACTTCTTCATTCAGGATATACCCTACACAAAAAGTACCAGAGTATTACTAATCTGTAACCATCTTGGCCATGCATCTTCATTAAACTAACACATGGCGCCAGAATGGCTGTCCTTCCAATACCAAACATTATTCCAGTCTTGACTACTCATATCCAACTTCTATTCAATATAGGGAAAATGTCATAGACAAAAAATGTCAAACAGAAGATTTTAACAGAGGTAGCAGTTGTATTCCCGCCATAAATTGCAGCAGAACGCCTATAACAGACAAAAGCCGAAGTACATGAGAAGCCAAAAAATGTAATTTTATTAGGATTCTATAGAGTATACAGGGACAGAGCAAATGCAAACACATATGATCAGATCAGGCAAGGAAGGTAGGATGTAAATGAACTACATGACAGTTCTATTCACAGCTAACAGTCCAAGGAAACAAAATCCTTTCCCAAAAAAGTCTTGTTTAACCAAGGTAGAAGGTACCAAACAACTACAAATCATCAACCCTACTAATAATCTATTTTGTTTGTTGGTTTAGCTAACTTACCATATAGAACTTCTTTATGACTCTGTTTAGGTAAGTTACACAAAACTTAGCTATGTTAGATCAAACAGGACTCTTTTTTGGGGACAGAATTAGTACTCTGTATTGAATCGATAGACAGTCAGGCGTTTAGTCACAAGCCCATATCTCACCCGATGGCTCTATGAAAATTAGGACTTCGGATAAATATTTTTTAAGGAATAAATTCCACTTTTGGTCCTGCGAGTTTTAGGTCAATTCCACATTTAGTCCACATCTTTAAATTTGTCCACTTTTGATACATGATTATTGGGTTTCACCCATATATGGTCCTTCCGGCATTGTTTCCGATGCTTAAAATCACCGGAAAAGGACCAGCAAACGGTTAAAAAACATTAGTCGAATACCAAAAGCGGAATTAATTCATTTTTAAGTGCTTACCAACAAAAAGGCCTCATCTAGTGTTAACCATAATGTTCGGGCTAATGATAAATGTTAATACTAGAGTTTGGAGTTTTTAAAGTAGCAACTTAATGATTTATATTTTAACTTATGGGTGATTATGTGCGATATGTTGGAGGAAATGACGAAACAACGGGAGTTTCCAACACTCCATCCCAAATCACAGGACTATCGATTAGGGTATTAAAATACGGGATTCGGAAGCCACTGTTCCGAATGAATTATTAGAGTTTAGAATTAAAAATGATTCGGATGGCTGACTTCCGAATGGTGAAAGAACATTTGGAAAAAGTTTGGATGGCTGACTTCCGAATGGTAAATGAACATTTGGGATGTGTCTTTGAGAATGGCAAAAGTTAGAAAATAAAAAGCTTAGTGCTCCAATAATTTAAATTTTAAATGATTCGGATTTGTCATTTCCTAATGGGAAAAAGTACCCACTTGTTAGTCCAAGTAAAACTCCCCATTAAGATTAATTTACGGGAAATTAGTTTAATAAAGAGATATTATTTAGACTATTACCTATTTGTATAAAATTAAAATTAGTGATGTAACTTTTTTTTATTTGTATTCCGATTTTTACAAAAAATTATACTCCCTCCGTCCCATTGTACTTTGACAACTTTCACTTTTTGGTTATTCCAAAAAACTGTCACTTTCATATTAAAGCAACTAATTTGTGGTTCTGCACATTTATGTCTCCTCTGCACAAATCTCGACCACACTATTTTTACTATTCTTACTTCTCACCTACTTTGCACTTGTCAAAGTCCACCAGGACGGAGGTAGTATCAGAATTCATAATTTTTTACGATCTTTCATATTACACCATTATTGTGTGTATAAATGTTTTTTAAAATTGAAGTTTCAACACTATGAGGTTTTCATATTTAAAATTTTTCTTAAATAAATCCAAATACTAAAATTAAAAACCTGTTTTAAAAATAATTGAAACATCTGTAAAAAGCTATTGTAACAATGAGATCTTAATTTTAGCACTTCAATCAATTTATATATGGAATATTGATGTCATTAGAAAGGTCATAAAAAATTATGAATTTTGGTATATTTTTTATAAAATTTGGAATACATATAAAAAAGTTACATTATTTAAAAGAAAAAATGGGATTTTATATTCACCTTGCCCCTACCCCTCCCACCCAACAACCCTGCCCATCCTTCCATTCGGAATTGCCATTTCTAAATCCCTCATTCCTAGAAACCCTAGGGAAAATCCCGTTATTTTGCTTTACATGTTAGCTTTTCCCGTAATATAAGAAAAGACCTCATATGTTGTACTTAAATGATTAGAATATGTAACTTTATTAAAATGACATAAATATTTATTTTTCAATTATTTGGATAACAAGTACAAATTCATATAGTTGTTAGTTGTTACCACCTGTTATATTATAGTAGCACTCACCACTGGCCATGGGTTTTGACCTTAAGTGGTCAATTTGTGGATTTTATCGTCGAGTCAGATTGTGAGTTCATTGATTGTAGGATGAGTGAAACATTTGTTTGGGTCAAGTCAGCACATGGGAGTAATTTTCTTCACTCTATGCTCTGCTTGTTGTATATGACATAAAGTGGTGACACTAGTACCAGTACTATAATACTTGATCTCTTATAGTCTTATGTCTCATTAAATACTTACTAGTATATAAGGAATACAGCTGAATATTTCAAATCTAAGTTTTTTCACATAGATAAACTTCATCTGTCAATAATGAAGGTCCTAAAGATTTTGGGCACAGATTGATTAAGTAGGGTAGAAAAGTTTAATTGACACAAAAGATAGGTCTAGGACAAAGGTGGTATGGTTTGACATGAAATTTATGTGTAGGGTTAGTAAAAAGGTCAATTTGTCTACTAGATAAGCGAAACTTTCATCTCGGGACACCTAATAATGGTAATGTCACTAACGTGGGACCTTCATTTTGGAATGGGGTAGTACTTTATACATTAATACATCAGTTAAGAGTCTAGGAACATAATAAGATCACGAGTTAAGTGTTTTCGACCTCATCCTTCCCTAAATAGAATCTCAGGTTTGACAACTTTGGCTGCAACAGAACAGACATTAACAATTCTTTTACTAAATGAACTAAAGTACATGAGGATAGACATCATACAAAGTGCACAGTAAAGGATCAAGATAATCTGAGTCATTTGACCTAGATAAATTTCACTTTCAGGTTGTTAGGAACCCAGGTCCCAAAACATTCCTTTGTATGGCATCTTTACCTTTGTGACGGATTTGTGATTTTAGTTTTTTATTGAATTTTAAAATTTTAAGATTGACTAGTGGAGTTTGAACATGACTAGTGGAGTTTTATTGTGTGTTTTTTGTTGTCTTCAACAAATGAATGATTATGAATATACAGAGTAAGAATTAAGAAGTTAGGGTTGACAGATAGAGATCCCGATTGGTAATATGGTCCATAACCTGGGCTGCACAATTCAAAAAGGTGGTGAATCAGATGGAGATGTATTTCGTAGAATCAAAACATGGTAGTTGAAATGAAAGAGTGTGTCGGTTCTATGTGATCGAGGTAGGACGACTAGACTGAAGGGTAAGTTTTACCAATATCAATTAAACATGCATTATTCTATGACGTAGAGTGTTGGGCGGTGAAACATGTCACATTCAAAAGATGAATGTGGGTGATATGCACATGTTGCATTGGATGTGTAGACAAACTAGAAAAGACCGCTTGAGCAATGAGACAATCAAACAAAAAGTGAGAATAGCACCTACTGAAGATAAGGTGTGAGAGTCTAAATTGTGGTGGTTTGATCATGCACATAGAAGACCGAATGATGCATTTATTAGACGAATTGAAAAGTGGGGAGAGGAAGCAAATAAGAGAGGAAGGGGACAACCTATACATATGTAGATTAGAGTGGTGAAGAATTATATGGTACTTTTTGAGTTAGATAAGTGCATGAATTTGGAGAGAGTGAAGTGAAGAGAGAGTAAACGTGTGGAGGGAGAGCATTACTTCCTTCGTTCCGCTAAAAGTGTCCCATTTTTCCTTTTTGATCCGTCCAACTAAGATTGTCACATACCAAATTTAGTAAAATTTGTGTAATTCTAAATCATTCTTACTTTATTCTTACTTTATCAACCGCATAAACCCACTTTTATTGGTATGCGTGTCACTCCCTCTTGTACTATTGTTAGTGGGACGGAGGGAGTATTATTATTATTATTATTATTATTATTATTATTAATTTTTAACTCCAATGTCATATGTCAATTCATGTTAGCCGACCACGAACTCTTTTGAGATTGAGGATTGGATGTTGTGGTTGACAGATGGAGTATGGATAAGTGCAATTAGACACGGACTATGATTTCAATTATCTGATTTTCTTTAATAGGCTATAACAGTTTTTGTTAGTGATTGTGGATTACTGTTTTTTATTTGATACATATGATAATACTGAGGCTAATATTGTTAGTATTATGGGGCACATCTCTGTGTAAATTTACTTATCTCGGCTAGGTAGTCAGAGAGTACTCCTAAGCCACGAGTGAACAACAGTAAATTACTAGAGCACAAAATAACTGTTTATACCCCCCTTTTGGTTTGGCCTTCGTTGCCCATAGGACTGTAGAATATACGTTAAAAAATTACAAATCTGAAATGGTACCATGTAATACTCTTATCTCATAATGTAGAAGTATAGAACGGAAGTCCCCCAGTGACAAATTCACAAGCAAGTGTGAGATCTAACAAAAACTTACCTGTACACAATATTAGTGGAGAACTTTTCGAGGATCTAGCTGTCCACTGCAATAACTAGAAGGAACAGCAGAGATTTCCTGCCGTCCTCTCCACTCTTCACCAGGTTTCAATGTGATAGCTTTTTCGATTGCTGCAGCTTCCACACACAGCATGTGCTTGTATTCATCATCCCCAAAGTCGGTCATGGCTTTTGACTTCTTGTCCCAAGGATTCCACACCACTTGCCAAAAGAATGTACAAGCTTAGTTTAAACTCGTGTCGCCAAAAACAGAAACCTTGCTATATAACAAAATACTTGCAAGCTTGCTATACAACAGAGTTTTTGATAGTCAATCACCCAAACAGTAAAAAAAAATCAATGCCTCGTGCGAACCTCTTATTTGAAAGATAAGTGTTGCTTATATCAAGGTTTAAAAGGCACTTTTAAGGCTTGAAGTGTTTTCTAATCATTAGGTGGGCTTTAAGCTCGTGGCTGTTTGAGAGATGTAACCTCAGCTTTATAGATGACTTCTTTACAAATAAAATTTATTAACAATCTAAATCATTTTCTCAATAATACATAGAAGAGTCATAACTAAGTGTCATAATCCACTATAAAAGTTTCAACTTTTTATAGAAAAATATTTAAAAGCTTTTTTATTCCACATAAAATCATAAAAACTAGTTCAAATAAGAAAGAGGAGATGATATGCCTGGAGATTTTGATATTTAGTAGAAATATGAATCAAAACAAATAAAACAGAAAAAAGTAACTGAAATCGTTAGAACCTCGATGGGAAGGTAAACAGTAGAATAACTTGTAGTAGCTAAGAAGCTCTACAATAATTGTTCTCACTTCAATATGAATGTGAAGTAGTTTGTAGTTTATGTACTTGCATGATAAAGTGAGCTTTAGAAGTAGACTTCATGTGTTATAATGGGTTTAGTGACTACATAACAAAATATAATACTCATTTATGACTTTTTTATTAAAAAATTGTGAGACCAAAAACACAACTAGAAACAAAAAAAAATATGAGGTTTATGAGACTATCCACCCCAACCATCTCATGTGCAAATTCCATTCACTTGAGGCTTAGTGCCTTTTTCACACCCACATACCAAGGCGCGCCTCTACGCTTTTAAACCATGGCTTAGACAACACTCTCTGTCCCCATATTTAACTCCGGGTTTGAGTTCGCACGATGCTTAAATAAAGTGAAAATGGTGTGATTGAACTTTGTTTAGAAGTGAGAGAAATAATCCTTTCCTTGAAGGGAAAATGATGTACATTTTGGGATGGATAAAAAAACATTTTTAACTTATACGATCTACTTCACCCAGTCTATCATGAACAAATAAGACACCCATCTGGGAGCATATAGGAGGGGGCACTCAAACAAAAAGTAACTGAAATGGTATGATGGTATCAAATAAAATCTCACAAAATTTTACTGTCTAATGTTCTTATAGAAAGGCAAAGCAATTCATAGGAAGTTAGAAGTACGAGGCGAAGTTAAAAAGTATTATAGAGAAGCAATCATCTAATGTATCATATGTTATTCAAATGTACTAAAAAAGAAATTTTCCATAATCATGAAGCAAATGACAATGACCATCTTACCTGCATCAGGAAGTCCATCCTTGCGAATCACAAATGTCCTTTTCTTTTCATGATCAAGGATGGCAATTTTTGATGGAGTGCTAAGGTATATTTTATCAACCTATACCAATTGTGTTCCAAATTCTGGATGAGACGCGGTAAAGGCTGTAAATACTTGAAAACATCAAATTGCTAAATTCTTACTTCTCCTTCGAAAGTAATAGCATCGCCTTGTTCTGTGAACCGCTCCCTACCCTGCAAGTTATCAAGATAATCCAGTGTCTCTAGCCCCTCAACACGAACTTCACTGTAACAAAAATTAAGTGCAGGAAAAACTGGTTAAAGATTGATAGGAAACAGAGAAACTTTTATGATGGGTATAAGCGCAGGTACAGGGGAATAAAGAAACATTTGAGAGAATGTTACATCAGAAGCAGAACATTCAAGGTTCAATCTTCCTGAAAGATTGACAATCATGCAAGCACAAAAGTTGACACTTCATGGAACACACGTTAATAAACTATTACTCTATGTATATTCCAGGCTAGATGGCCAACATATATTTTTTATTTGGAAAACATATTCTAATGAGATCACTAGGATAACACTACAATATTGTTACTTCCCTATATATGTGTGGAGGGTATGTCTATATATATGTGTGTGTGTGTGCCTACTGTGATTTCCCCATTCACTGCTATTTAGTTGAGCTTAATGTGATTCACTGATCCCTCTCTCTCTCTCTTTTAACAACTAAGATAGCACTACAGTATATTTATTTCCGCTAATTGACAACTGATGCAGTGGAGAATAATTAACAAATACATTTGCTATTTGTTCAGGTAGAACAAATGATTGGGTAAGCTAGTCTCCCTTAATTTTCTCATGTTTCTGGGTATAATGGTACCTCAATTACATATCTCACACCAGAAAGGGCATTCGTTCTATGGACATCAAATTCCCAATATGAACTATAACAGTAGTTGTTTTCAGTATAGCTATAACACAGTCATACATCAATAGATAACATCATAATAGTAAGCAGTAACACAACCAGTGATCTACAATACCAAAAGAAGAAGAAGAAGCAAAGACTGAGCTAACATCTGAAGACATCAATGCTGCAAGGCATACAGCTAAAGACATCAAAATTTCTATTATTTTCCCTAACACTCCATTGGAATCAAACTAAAACCCAGTCCCACTCACACATGATGCAACACAAAAGATGTATATAATTTTTCAAGATTGTTACTCCCTCGACCCCATTATAATTGACCCACTTTTCCTTTTCTGTCTGCCCTACAAAGTTTGTCGCATACCATATTTGGTAGTTATAATTCATTCTCACTTTATTCACACTTAACAAATTCAATACCAACTTTGCCAAAAAAAGAAATTCAATATCAACCACATGCCTCTACTTTTCTTAAAAAGCACACCACCCCTCTTGTCCCAATCTTAGGGGGGCAGAGGTAGTATTTACTTTATACTAAACACATGAACAGATGGCAATCAATTTGTTAAGTTTTCTCGTAAAACAAAAGCATAAGAAGAGAGATTCACAAAGGCTGTGAAAGAAAACATGTCAGCAAGTATGGAATAGAACAATAGAGAAAACTTGTAAATGCTTCAAATGCACATAGACAAGGGTGTGGCATCATAACTCATGATTTTCATTAATTTCCATAACCACATAATTATTCAATGTCCTGTCCAAAACTATGTATCTGGACATGCAACAAAGTAAGATTTGCTTTTTAAAATTATTAGCAGGAATGGATATAAATAAGTCACACTTGTTCGCTCACCTGATGTCTGAAACAGAGAAATATGTGTGATATGCAAATGTAAAGGTGAAAGGCTTTCCATCAGTGTTGGTGTTTCTTATTCGAGATGTTAGCATAAGATCTCCACCAGGTCCCAAGGTTAACCTCAAGCGGAACTCATAGCTAGAAAAGACATGGTAATAAAATCAGGCTAAGTATAGATTAAATTAAATAAATCATACAAAATCAAACAACACAAATAAGTAAGTGTGCATGTACATATAAAACAGATCATAGTTAATCCACCAAACCTGTGAGGCCAGATTTTCATGTCGTCCTCAGAAGGCTTTAATATTAAGTCGACAAATGACCTAGAGTTTGTTGGGGCCGGAGGAGGATCCTTGTCGAAGCTCCAAAACCTGTTTCTAGCAAACCCGTGTGGCTCAAGAGGTCCAAGGTTTGAGAACTGTGAAAAGAAAGCGGAATTTAGGTTGTAGATAAAATTAGAACATAAGAAAGAAGGGAAAATAGTATATACCTGAGGAAAGCATATAGGGATACCTCCTCGAATTGCTTTTGGAGGCTTGAAAATGGCCTGCGAACAATAAAGCATAAACTTGAGTTCATGCATTGTACTCATTTACAAAGTTCGACAGCCAAAGAAACCCTCATACAGTCATATAATGATCAACTCATTGTTCAACATTTTTTTCATCCTCTTGGTGTAATGTAAAACCATTCATCAGTTGAGGTAATTCTTGAAATTCAACTTAAAAAAGAATGTCTTAGCAATGCCTTGTTCTACACATTTATCAATTATTAAGATCATGCATTCATGCCTTTCTGAACATTTCAGTTTTAAGGTGTAACTGGTCTGGGATATCTTTATTGAGAATGAAAACTATGAAGAAATAAACCATGAACCCTAGAGACGCATAAATGTTGGTTGTCCAAAACTTAATTTAAAAGAATAATACAGTATGCTGGGCATAATTCAGCTCATGAAATTACCTTACTACTGACAAAGAGCATCTCTTCTCCGTGTTCATTTTTCCAGGAGGTAACATGGCACCCATAGAGATACACCTGTAAACAATAATGAATATGCAACACACAGCCAGTCAACTTGATATGCAACTGAAATAAAAGAACATCAAGTGAAAGGGCATCATGAAGTTAAGAAAATGAAAAGAATACAATCCATTCTTAGAAGTTTAAACTTGCACTTAGAAACAAGGAAAAGTTAAAACAGAACATAAACTATTGTAGCACTCACGCCAAGACAGGAGTAGCAAATAAAAAGCATGCTCGTCTAACTAGCATTCTAGCTGATCTTATTGAGTGTGTGAGTTCTTACACTATCACACACATACAAAAGTACCAAGCATAGCAACCAAGCACGTTTGTTAGAAAGAAGCTATGAGTTAAATAATTTAGGAACTTAAGGGTGTAGTGCAGTGGAGGAGAGAGAGGACATTTTGTGTTACAATATTTGATTTAGTTGGAATAGATGGGATGAGAGTGGAATGTATTAAAATTAGTCTCCCATCCAAAAAACTCCAAGATAGGGAGGGAGTGGAAAATGAAGGAAAGGGATGGAAAACATAGACATGTTCCCTCCCGTTTTTTCACCAACTTCCCCCCAAATACCTCCGGTGAAACACAGTGACACTTTCTACGAAGCAAAAATGTTTTAGAAAAATACGATTCACACAGATACATATTCATCTACAGGTATAATAACTCTTACAGGTAAATACACACAAAACCTAAATATGAACACGTACAACCAATCATTCTTTTAAACTTTATATCTGCAATAGATCAGGATACAGTGCTACAGGTTCAAATCAAGATACAGTGCTACAGGTTTAGATCAAGACAGTAAAAATTAGAAATCGTAACTCCTACAAATAGAGAAGAATGGTGTGATCATTCTGACGCATACAAAAAGAAACATGCAAATCGAAACGACAGCTCACATAGAAATTCACATGCTAATCGACCTCCTCCTACAAGAAGTATTATCAAAAAAGAAACTCAAACAGATACAAACGAACACGAGAAGATTGAGACGGGGAGAAATGGCGGTGCTACCTCGGCGGAACTGCCGCGAGCCTCCCGGAGGACGACTTTATCGAGGCCATTGACGCCCTTACGCATCTCCACTGGAAGCTTCTCGGTACTAGCAGCAGCCATCTCACTCACACACCTTCTCCTTCTCTCTCTATCTCTTGCTTTGAATACCGTTAGAAGCCTTCCTCGCCTATCTAAGTCGTCTCGCGCAACAGAATTTCATCAGAACTGTGGCGTGCTTACTGAGGCGCGTTTGGATCAACAGAATTTGATTATAAACGTAAACTACTCTCTGTGTCTGTTTATTTCAACGAACAAAAGCAAGAAAAGTTTTTCAGGATTGGGTATGGTTGAGGGAAGATTTCTTTTTCTCTTTTCTATTTCTTCGGCAAATTGTAAGATCGTACCGGGAGAGCGGTACAGCTGTTACTCAGCCACGCGTGTGTGAAAATGTAATTTAATCGAAAATGGAAACTAATAATACAACAATCCAATCTTTGCACCTACTGATTACATAATGTTTTGAAAGATAAGAAAATAAGTTGGAATAACATGTCATAAATCGGTCAGAGACCGGTGAATGAAGATGGGTGCAAAGGTTGGATTATTCATGAATAATGAAAAAGTGAGACTATTATAAAAAAAACGCTAAAAAGTTGGATTATTAGTTTCCATTTTTCCTATTTTAATTTGTTTGTTTTTTTGACTTTTACGTAGTATCTCATTCACGATCCCGTATTTGGGCTTTTTTTATTGCGTAGTAGCGTTTACCTAATTGGCTACTACCAACTTGAATCCCAACTTGAGATCATCGTTCTTGGAAATCCACATCAAATTTGCAATTGTATTGATTTGAGTCCCAAATCAGATCGTATTGAATCAGATTTAAATATACAAATGAAGACCACAATGGATTTAAACAATAGTGAAATACAAAAAGATGTTTATCAGATTAGACTTAAACAGAATAGATCAACTATAACATTTTCGTCCAATTAAAAACATGATGAGTTTTGATCATGTTAGCCTGTTAGGTCTAGTCATGTAGTGAAATTTGTGTGAGTGAAAGCATCCTAATCCCTAATACAAAATTCATGATTCTTTGATAATTGTTTCCAATTAAATCGAGAGATATGCTTCTCTATTTAAATTTAATTTGTTATGACCTATCTCACATAATGTTTAATAACAATTTAATACAATCTATATTATAGTTAAATTTCCTTATGAACGATTGATATATTTCTTAATAAAATAAAATAATTTGAATATAAATCCTAAAAGAAATCATATTTTGTATCTACTCTCTCTCTATCAAAATAAGTGTTACACTTTTCTTTTTGGATTGTAACATAATAAGTGTCACGCTTCTATTTTTGGAAAGAAATATAATCCAAAAGCAGGTACAATACACTTTAAAGTAAACAGTATTGTTGTAGTGCAAAAAAACTCCTACAGGGACAATAAAGTGTATAGTAAACATATAAATAATTTTAAACTACATGAAAAGCAGATTGGGACACTTATTATGTTACAAAGTAAGTAATAAATATATCACATAATTTAAATCAATATTGATCAAGGAGTAGTAGATGAATTTGCTACTTATTGAACATGAGGAAGATAGACTGGTTTTCTCAATGCGACAATTAGGTTAGTGAAGAATATTGATGTTTAATGATAGATAAAGGGATAACTTGGAAAAATAAAAAGCTAATGGAATTTATTGGGGGTTTAATGGAGGAAAATGTTCATGTTTTTTAGTAACTCAAAGGCCCAACACAATCATTTGGCGTTCGTCAGATTCTTCTATGGGTTATTAGTGAATGTTAAAGCCAAGTATGAGACAGATGCAATAACAAGGAAATAAGAGACAACGTGGGCCAAGTTTTATTAGGCACTTAAGAACGATTATAGCGCACCTATGCAGAGCCCGAGCTCTCACCCTCTAGGTCACATTGAAGATTACAGAAGAACTAGAGAGAAGTTCATTATTAAGTATGTAAGTTTGGCAACTCTTTACAATGAAATTAGTGTTGCTACTTATTCTAAATGGTAGCATATGGAGGGGATATTGTGCTCAACCCTGAATGGATAGTCTCCAACCATAAAATCCTCCAAATCCCGCCAACTCTAGCTTTCCTGCCAATTGTTTTGGGGAGCTCTCTTTGAACAGTAAATGGATCCAGCGAAAAAGCCAAGGGAGAGGATCAAGCTGGTTGGCGGGTCCAGTGCGGGCATCTTGAATGAGCTCGTGGATTTGGTGAACTGCGATTGGGCATGTATGCTAATTGGGCCACCTGAGGTATTTGAGTCTGAGCCTAATATCCCAACACCATTTTTAAAAGTGTGTATTGCTTTTTTACCCATCACCCCATTTCAATTTCCTTTCCCTTACAACCTCTTCCCTCTTCCAACCTCATCCCCGTCCTATTCTTCTCCCTCCCTCTTCCTCTGTCTTTTTTGGATTTTGATGGTGAATATCCCTTATTTAAGTAGGTGATTTAATAACAGTACTAAAATATTGCGTCTTCTTTATATTGGCATTCATATTCGATAATTACAATAATTATTTATATTTTACACAGATAATTATATCGATTTATGCACAATTGTAAAGACAAAACATAAAAATATCCAAAATTTAGCATAGAATGTGAAAGACCACCCAAAGCGATGAAAATGGAGGCAAAAGAGGCACTTTCGGATCAACCATTGAAGCTGAAAAGAACTAGAAAAGTAATAGAGTCATGTTTGGGAATTGGTGCTAGACTTACCCTATAATTGGTGTTGGACATGTCAGAATCTATCTGGACAGCGTCGGACTTTTCAAGTACTGCGAAATTATGCGAGGTCCTAAGATGTTCTTGATAGAAAATGAAGATTTTGATAAATTTAGCTCAGAAATTTTGCCTAAAGTAATTTAGGATTATGAATAGACTAAAAATACCAATCTTTAGTCTATTTAAAGCATCCTTCTCTTAATTCATCACCAATTCATCAATCAACCCTTAGCTGAATTCTTAATTTTTCATATTTTTGTTCACTCTTTTCTTGGAGTTCTTGACTTCTAAAGAAGCTCATCCTACACAAATATTGGTGTTGGGAATTGTCTTATCAACCAAATTTGGACCATCTAGAGAGCTAATATCATTGATCGGTAAATGGATAGTTTATTTAGCTCATTGGAGCAATCTGGTATATTATCATATGATTTCTTTCAAGAAGACTTTTTGAATTGGGGAGTGTGCATGGATTATTCGAAATCAACTTAACTTCCTAATTCTCTCATATCCCAAAAGTATGGTGTTAAAGTTAAACAAGGCGTCAAGGTGAAGCAATTGGTTGGGGTCTTGAGGATAATCAACTTGTTAATGCATGAAAAACGGGAAAAAGAATAAAGCTTCAAAAATGACTTCTATATCTCCTTTGATAACTGACCAGGGTGACAAACGGAAAAAGACTGAAACTGGGAATTCTGGTGATACACGCCACTGCTTTCGACTTGTAAGGGTATTTATTAAAGCCATGGATAAGAACGCATTTTCTTCTTCTTTTAAAGAAATCAAAGAAAGCTGCTAAGAGCATCTCTATTGGATTGTATCCCACAACAAACATTAGTCCAGTACTTGGGAAATTAAAATATCTTCAATTTCATAAGGTGTATAATCAATCCTCTTCTTTCATAAATTTCGATACAGATTATTCTTAATTATGTCTTTTATAGATGTTGGCATGTTGCCCATTGTCAAAAGGAGGAGAATAAAATAATTGGGCGTCAAAGTTCTTGCAAATGCGAAGGAGACAATGGAACTGGAGTCTGGAGGCTAAGGCTTTGAGAGATTTTGGTGGAGTTTCGAGAGCTTTTGGCTTACCACTTAAAAAACTTCTGTGGAAATAATGTTGTGTAATTACTGTTGTGTAGTTTATTTTGTGGTTGAGTAAAGATATGATAATTATGCTAATGTCCTTGCATGTCTGTTTTTTTACACAATTACACTCCATAAAATCAAATGTTTCTCTATGCATGCTCAGTATTTAGCCCCATCAATATTGCAAAAAAAAAAAGTGAAGTAATACATATGATTCCTTCTTTTCAGGTAATCAAGCCCAAACAATTTACACTCTACAGAGTCCAGATGATCCTTTTGAATGGGGATGGCTTCCAACCAATACAATCCCAAACATGCTAACTTCAAGCCCTCCTTAAAGGGATGTCATTGCACATATATTTTTCATTATGTTGCATTACGTGTTTCACATAAATTACACGAGCTGTAAATTCATCAATACAAGTAACGCAGAAAATAAGAAAAGAATGCTAAAGGATTAGAATCAAAATATTTAAAATGGGCATTTTTCTTTGCCCAATGGCCTTCCTAGATGGTGTATGTTGGCTGTGGCAAGAAGGGCATTGGATAATTGAAGGAAGATCTCTTTGGTTCCGAGGGATGGTAAAAAAATCTATCACCATACATCGCGCAGATACCTTCCCGTCATCTGCAGATTCTTCACCATGCTCTCCGCCTTGGAGCTGTCAAGTGATCCCTGCAAATGATCCACAATTAATGATTTATTTTTCACGGATATCTACATTTCTTGTGTATCATTATTTTTTGCACTGTTATCGTGCTTCGATTCATGTTAGCCGACCCCAAAATCTTTTGGGATTAAGACTTTGTTGTTGTTGGATATCTACCTTTCTTACGTTCAGAAAATGGTTATTGTGGGTAGTTGATCTATGGCCTCATAAATGTCAATAAATAAGTTGCGTGTCAAAATCATATTCATTGAGTATGAAAAACTTGCACAGCATGAATACTGTTTATCCATTTGTCGGGTGATTATTTTGACAAATAAGAGTTTGTCAGTTGGTGGAATAAAATTATATCTTCACCTTTGGACCATTTGTGCAGTCCATTTCCAAGAAGCCCTAATGCTTTGTTTGTTTCATGGGAAATAGAGATTAGGTAATAAAGTGAGAGGGAGAGATGGGGAAAATATTATTCAATATTTTGGTTGGGAAGAGTAATAAACTGTGGGACACACCTATTTTTCATTTCCTCACAGTAGTGTAAAGAAACAGCCAAACAGGTATGGAGAATTGTATATTCAAAAAGTGTAGATCTAGACGCTAAAAGAAATTCGAAAAAATTTTTTTTTATGGAATTGAAAGATTGTAATCGCATTTATGGATATTTTTGTTTAAAAAATAGGTAAAAAGGTTGAGAAAATCAAATAAAACAGGAGTGGCCCAAGATTTCATGTCTGACATGTGATAAAAGCTAGTGGCTCTTTTTCTTTTTCTTTTTTGTTAACCTTATGTGATAATGTGATCCTGATTTAATAAGTATTATATACGTAGTATATGACAAATGTTCAGGTCCGGAATTCCGGGCCAGAACTGCCGTCCGGCCGACGGCTTTTGGGGCCCTTCCCGGTGGCTTTTTTCGATGAAATGTGTATGGCATGTTCTTTATCAAGTCTAGTTTATCCACACAAAAATTCAGCTAAAAACTCGATCCAGAAGGTTGTCAAATGATTTTTGAAAGTTAACTGCGTTTTATATGTATTTTTTTGCGCAGTTAACTTAAAAAATCATTTGACGACCTTCCGAATTGAGTTTTTAGCTGAATTTTTGTGTGGATAAACTAGACTTGATGAAGAACATGCCCTAAAAATTTCATCAAAAAAATCCACCGGGAAGGGCCCCAAAAGTCATCAGCCGGACGGCGGTTCCGGTCAGGAAGGCCTGACCGGAACACTACTATATATATATATATATATATATATATATATATATTGTTATATATTACTAAAATCTAGTATTTGAATCATATAACTACTATTCCATAATGAAAACTACTATTGTTATATTTTATGCAATATGCAAAATACATTGTATATATATAATAGAAAATTGAACCGGTACCGGTTTGAACCAGTTTTGGTCCTCATTTTCGAGTTCTGGTCTGGGTAACAAACTGGCTGGTTCCTGAACTCTGTCCACCCCAAGACGGAGGGAGGGGATATTCAATATCAAATTGTAAATTATTATTAAACCAAGAATATTTTCTCCTTTCTAGAAATAACATGCACATTTTCATTCTATTTCTTAGTTCTCTCATATCAAACAGTACATAAATACACTATTTCTCAAGCCTTTTTCCCTTCATACTCCGTTTCTCTCTTCCTTATTTCTATTGGAATGAGTGGGCCAAATCAAAGCCTACATGATGTAGGCCGTTGTAGAGTAATCTTAGGACTGAAGTGATGGTAAGAAGACTGTTTGCAAGTATCCAACAATAGAAAGGGAAACAAGATCGAAATAGAAAATGAATGATTCCACCCAGAGTTAGTTGGAAAGCCATCTCAAGTCTATCTATCTCGAGAGGAGTCGAACTAAGAAGGAAAAAATGACTCAAATGACCACTGTATACACTAAACAGGGAAGAAACAATATGATTTAGTAGAATGGCATACCTGCTGTTGTAAAATATTGTGAAGAGTTCTGTGAACGTCTCTAGCCATGCCTTTGGCATCACCACAGACGTAGAGATAAGCTCCTTGAGAAATCAGGTTCCAGATATCTGCTGCCTGAGAATTTAAGAACCAGTCAGGATCTTGTATATTTACAAGAGAAAGTGGATGAAAATATTCTTCATTACACATGCAGTTATGATAAATCTAGCGCTCACTTTTTTCATCATATTGTGTTGCACATATTCCTTAGTAGGCCCTTCACGTGAGAAAGCAATAATTAGCTCAGAGAGTGCACCGGTATTGACGAAGTTGTTTAATTCATCCTCATAAATGTAATCCTGCACAAAACATAGAATAGAATGGATGACATACAACACAATAGAATCTAGAATTAGTGTGGGGTTGCTCATCTAGGTCATAATACCTTTGGTCCAAACCACACGAATAAGTCCAACTAAATCTATTTCAACCAGGATATTATTACCTTCATAGTTGATAATACTCACTCTAATTTTCTGATAAAGAACTTTAACACATTGAAACTAAACTGCAACAAACATCTATATAGATCACTGACTCACCATTTTGGAATTCCTGCATCCGAAAAATAACAATGCCGGGCCAAGTTCTGTGCCTTCTTCCTTCAGAGCTAACCTTTCCTGTAAATTTTTAGCATGTGTCATAACTATGCTTGATTTTTGGGTAAATTGTAAAACATTTCAAGGTAAAAGAAAACATGTAACCAATTACACAGTGTTAGATTGTACCTGAAGAAACCCCCTGAATGGAGCTAATCCAGTTCCTGGACCAACCATAATGATGGGTACTGTGGTGTCAGCAGGTAGTTTGAAGTTAGATTGCCTAACGAAAATGGGTGCCCAGCTGCAGTTGGGACTTTTCTCCAAGGGAACAGCATTCTGAAAGGGATAAATAGTGAATTGAGTGGATTGACACGGAATGTGCACTGGAATGTTCATTCACATTGTAATTCAGTGGATTAACACAGAATGCAAGGGAACAAGCAAAAACTATGTCCATCAATTATAACAAATTCACTTTTGTTGTACTTACAAGCAAATATAAAGTTTGTCCGGATTGAAGGAAGTACCTAAATTCTACTGTATCCGTTCATAAAAGGATGACACGAGGGAAAGGTTCCCAAGTTCATCCATTGCTTCTCACAAACACAACTATCACTTGCACATACATGAATGCATCTAAATGCAACTCACTATGTTCCTAAAAGGATGTCATTTAGGAGTGCTGTAAACATTAAGGAATTGCTTAAATATATGAATAAAATGGGATAGAAGACTAGTAGATGCTTTATTCAATTTATTTATCTAATATTCATAATATATGTTTTGGGAGTATAGAGGACTAGGGGATTAGAAAAGTACATCGCATTAATTGAGCATAGAAAGGTAAAATCAGAAAAAGATAATAAATGTAATCCTGGAACTTGGAAGTGTTAAGCGACAGCTAACTACTAACAAAGAAATATGCAAAAGCAACAATCTTTCACGAACGGAGGACGTATCTTACTAGTTCAAGGTTGTCTCTTACAACTCCGGAAGTTTAAGAATGAGAGAAAAGTTAACATTAAATAGAACATAAATACCTTTATCCATGTCGAGCAAATACCCTTGTGGATTCGTCCCGTTGGAGTTTTTTCATATACTAAGGCACAAGTGATGTGGATTCGAGAGGGAGCTACCCTGCATAATAATGTGAACTTAAGATTTAGTAATTTTGAAAAGCAAGCTGAGAAAAAAGTTCACTTTTCTGTGGTTGTGATAGAAGATGGAAACATGAATGATGATTTTTACTACTCGAGGGCTAAGATTTAGGAAATAAAGTCAAAAGGCAGGTGCAATTATCATAAGAACACTAGTGATTCACACAAATCATAAGTGTGCTAGATAGAAGCATAGTGATTCCTAATTTATTAATGTTTATTCGTCACTAAATATGCTGAAACCAAATAATCAATAAACAGAAGAGTGGCTTCAGCTACGCTGTCTTCATAACAAGGCATTGAATTAAACTGATTACCTTGAAGAGGAGGATATAGAATAAAATCTTGGCTGCAGACGTGGAGCAACTGATGCAAAGAAAACTCCAAGTGGAGGTTTGACTGATGTAAATTCAGCCATCACTTCAAGAAGGCTTCTTTGACTAGCAACTATCCATTGTGCATATTCCTCCTAAGAGTAGACAAAGCTTTCAATGAGAGCAGGTGATGGTAGGGTGTTTGGTAAAAGTTCTAATGATACAAAGCCCTGACCTTTCCAGCTGGAGATGCAAGATGCCTCAGTCGATCAGCTTCCGATTGGTTAGAAGCATACTCCGCCAGAGCAAGTAAAGCAGACTGTAGTTCATATACACCGTCACTTTATATTTAATGTTCAGAATCTATTTAAATAGCCCCCCACTAACTCAAGGAAATAACTTACCTTTTTTGGAGAGCTCAAAAGGTCTGCATATTTTGCCAGTGCTGTTCTTAATGTACAAGGCGGGAAGGGAGGAGGCAATGAACTTCCGCTAAGTGGTGTGCCATCCTCTTTATCAGTGTGAATGGAAAAGAATGTATTTGGTGCTAGATTTAGCAGACGTTCAGCTTCCTCCACGGTTTCAATTAAATTTTCACAATATACACCAACATGGTCCCCAGTTTCATAACTGTATAAAAACGGGTAAGAGATGATATTGCATTTGATATGGAAATTTGGTGGTACACTAATGACCAGTTGACCACTTATTGAGTACTCAATCCACCCAAAATTAATTGGCTTTTTGAAAACTTGAAAAGTAAACAAGTATTAAGAAACTTTATAAAATGACATTTCTATCCCTATAAAATTTCAAAATTAAATGCATCATGTATTTTTTTCAAGGCAAAAAAGAAATCCATGCAAATTTGGGATATTAGCCCAAAATATGAAGTAAACTTCTAAAACTACAATTATTTTAAGGCAAAGATATTAGCTACAATGACAAACAGGGGATATAATAATACTGAAATATCCACTTACGATAGTCCAGTTCCTGATATGTCAAACTCCAGATGAGTACAAGAGCGGTCAGATGCTGGGGTGTGAAGTTCCCTTCTAACAGCTACATTGGCTCTGGAATCACAGAAAAGCAATGTGCAAGTGTACAAAGTAAGGTTGAGATTGCCCATCACACATGCTTATAAGTTTATACGGAGTAATAAACAAAAGGTTACACAAATGAAGCAAACTAGGTAATTAAGCCTTTCCCACACCTGCAGGGATGCTGAGCATCATAAACAGCAGCATTACCATTGGCGAATCCATTGACATGGCTATTTACTTTAGTGGAACCATCATTGTCATGGATGACAACTCTGTATTCCAAAACTGCAGCAGTATATGGAGTACCACTGGTTGCATCCTCTTCGTCTCGGAGCAACTTATCCAACTCAGGCCACACAGTCTCTCGCCTGCAAGTCCAATTTGAGATTACACATCCGGAAGCATAAAAATGAAGAGGAATATATTGTGTATTTAAAAGTGGCTAGTTTAGATATACCAAGCAGCAAAATCATCTTCAATGCATTGGTCATCGTCTCCCACACCCAGCTTCACAAGTCGTTGCCCACCTGGAATAGACAAAAAATGAAGGAGCGTGTAACTATGTAAGGTAGAGATCATATACAGCATACTAAATTTATTGAAACTTCAGATCAGTTTAAGACTTTATTGCACCTTTGGTACAATTAATCTATATCAGATTGAAATAGTTCACAAATTATAAGCTAATCATCACAAAAGATAAGTATTTGAACGCGCTTAAAGCAAAAATGTGTGTGTTGCTAACAAGAATAATCTGACATGTCATTTTTCCTACTAAGGAAGCTACTGAAAACTGGGAAAATAAAGAAGAAAATAATACCTTGCTCAGCAAGTTGTTCATCCACTACTTTTGCAATCTGTCACCGAAGAAATCCTGTGAGTTCAGTTGTGCTATATAAATATGGACAAAACAGAATCATAATATGAGATTAAACTAACATTAGACCTTGTTGAAATGCTCGTACTGCCGATTACCGAGACCAAATACAGCATATTGAAGATTTTTCAGCCACTCGCCCCTCTCATTTCCCCCCTGCATACACCAAAAAAATGCTTCATACCATTGTGATTTAAAATTTATTGGATTTAGAAGATTGAAAAAGGTAAGAGCATATAGTATACCTCAACAAACCATTTATAGAATCTTGCAGCATTATCAGTTGGCTCACCATCTCCATAACTACAAACAAGCAAAAGTCAACATAGTTCGACCATCACATATATAACAATCAAGACAGTAATAACTGCTAAGCTCCGCCACATAGGAATCCCATCTCATCATCAAACCTACAAGATATAAAAAAGTACTATTACTAGGATAACTTACGTGGCCAAGAAGAAAAACACTAAACTCTCTTTCTTGAATTTCTCTTCATATTCCTCATCCTCAGCCGCATAATCATCCTACAGCCACAATACCAATTCATCCGTTAAGAAAATTGAAGATCTAAGTGCAAAGAATCTAAATGTAAACAAAAAAACACGTGCATCTAATCCATCTATACAAACTAATATTAACACTCTTAAAGCAACAAAAGGAATAATAATCATTAAAATTGGCCTTACAAAATAAAAAATACTCACCAAGTCAACTACTTTAATATTGGCCTTATCGTATCTTGCTTTTGCTTCATCAGCAAGTGCCTGTTAGAAGCATGAAAAGTAACAACTCAATCCCCATTATTACTGTTTTCGTTATTATTATTAATAACACAAAACGGAGTACCTTACTATTAATTTAATTAATATTATTAGATTTAGGGCGATGAATCCTGAAGAAAATGTGGGAAAAGAGTATGATAAACTCACAAAGGTGAGAGGAGTATGAAAAGTTGCAAAACTGTCATTTCTGCAAAGCTGCTAGAGTTTGAACCTTTGAAAGTGAAGTAACAATAATAACCTCGGTATCAGATTATCACTGACTAATTTAGCAAGAAATCTAAAAAATATTTTGGCGCATCCAGGTTATAGTGGTCAAGTCCTTAATCAAAAAAGCTATTGTAGCCGAGCATTTTGCTATCTTGAAGTCAACCCGATCAAAAGCCTGAATTAAAAATTACTTCGCATAAAATTGGGAGAGCATTTGGATTTGGATTTGGATCTGGGTTTGGGTTTGGGTTTGGTATGTCCGAGCAGAACCGCATCAAATATAATTCTCTTAGTCTCGTAATCCTTTAGTTAGTTCACAGACCTTTGCATAGCTTTCAGCAGTGCCGGTCTGGGTTCCGAAGAAGATGGTGACCTTCTTCCTGCCATCATCGACCTCATCAGTTTCCTCCACAGCCTTCCGCACGGTGGGTTTCTGCAGCTCCACAGCTTTCTTCGCCGAGGAAGACCCTCGCCGCCAAACAAGCACGACAACACACCCAATTAGAACCGCCACCGACGTGGTGAGCACCATCATCAGCTCCTTGTTGTCCATCAGCGCAGCCACCGTCGACAGAGGCTCCGACGAGGCATTGGAGTGGTCGAAGATCCTCCCGCCCTTCAAGATAGCTGCCATGAAATCGAAGGGCGAGAGCTTCTGCGAAGTGTGATCCATCTGCCGATCAATCAAGAATCAAATCCTGCGATTTTCCCTCGATCAAAGGAGATCCTTCGACCTAGTTGTGTTGGAGGGAAGTAGGTGGGAATTTGGAGAAAACTACAAATACGGAATGCAATATATATGGAACCTCTTGGTCAAGTCGGCAAGACGGCAACAGCACCTTCCCAACCGGACTTTTGTTCAAACTCACCTAACACCGGTTTCTACTATTATTAGGCACCTCATAAAATAATCAATACCATTTCACATCGATAGTGATGTCAGTTTTGATCTTCTTTTCTTGCATTCAAGGTGTTGATTGGCTTGGACTCTTGTATTGAAATACCATTTCAATTACCAGTAGGTTTTAGCCAAAACTCTATAGTAATTTGTGGTTGCATTGAAAAATCTTATAACAAAATAGGTTTTTCCTCTCACCACAAAAATAAGTTTGATATACTCGTAATATGTTAGAAAATTGGTATCATCAATGAAATTGGTATTATGCATCTTAACTTCTAGTTATTTTTTGGGCATTTTCCTTGAATATTATCAAATTAAAACTGATATCTAAAGACCATTTTTTTAAATGATAAAGATGTGTTTAAGAAGATCACATGTTTGGGGAAAAAAATGATGTCACTAATTTTTTATGTCACTGTCAGATTTCTATATCATTATTATATGTCATTGTCAGGTTTTTATGTCAATTTTGAATGTCACTGACAAATTTCTTGTCACTGTCGGCGCAAAATGTGTCACTATATTGCTGGAAAAATTTTTGTCGTCCCCGTGACTTGGCCACAGTAACCCCGACCACAATAACCCCGACCACCACCAGTCACCACTGCCACCCACTAGGCATCACCCAGCTCTCAGCCTACCCTCCCCATCCCTCACAATGACGCCGCCTACCACCCATCTGCCGCCGACCACCATCATCGGGCACTACCTCCAGTGACCCGCCATCACCGTCCACCGTTGACTACGTCATTTTACTCCAACGGTAACCCAGGTGTCTCAACCAGTCCGCCATCCCATCACAGTCCACCATCGTCCCGCCACTGTCCAATAGCCACGCCATCTCTCGCCACCCACTCACAACTGTGTCCATGCCCCATGAGTCACAGCCCCCACCACCATGCCACTCAGTCGCCTCTATTCCTTCAAATACCCTAAAACAATCACATATCCAAAACTACCGATTTGAAATCCGGATCTAAATTCACTCGACCATCACTACCCCTTCCTTCGAAGATCGACATGAAGAATATGGTTGTTCATACGACGATGACGGCAACCTGGGTCAACATCTCCACCGCAGCTATTGCGGCCCTCCCGCAGCAGACACAACGACCTCATAGAGGAGGTGTTGGCATCAGCGATTCTCATAGTGGTGGCGGCGGTTGCTCTCATAGGGGAGGCGGCGGCGACTCTTCAACAGCGGCGGCGACTCTTCATCTCCATACCAAATGCACAAGCTCTATGGTTGACGGTGAGAGGAGATGCTAATTTAGGCATTGGGACAATTTTAGGCTTCTCGTATTGGGAGATGCAGAAAGGAGAAGGGCCTGAGCATCTTTACTTTTCTGTCCAAATGACTTTTAGTCATACTCGTGTCAAGTAAAAGCTCATTAGTATTATTTTTGTCATTCTTTATATTCTTTGTTAAAGAAGTCGCCTGTATTGATATTAAGTTAATCAAAGACTGAATTAGACTAGAAAGCATTATTACTCATATAGGACTCACAACCTGAAAAGTTCTCCCACTCCTGATTAGACATAGAATGATCGTCTTAAATTGAGCAGATTGTTTCGCTAATCATGTGATAGCTTTGAAGAAATATTTGGACCTATGAGCCTTAATGGTTCTAACTAGATAACAAATAATATGAAAAACAAAACATTGAACTCAAACCATCATTTAAAGTAAATAGACATTGGTCAGTTAAACTTGAACAGCCTCGGCGAGTTACAAAAAAAGCGAACCCAATGACTATGAGAGCTCCATAATTGGGGTCATCAGAAAATTGTGCACTTAGTGACTGAGTCTAGCCAATGTGCCCACTCTTACCTCGTTTTTTTAACTTTACCAATTCACACCATTGATGAATCAGCTGGATATATCTTATTTCACCACCCTCACCCATAAAAGCAATGTGTTAACTTCCTGCGCCTTAGCTTTGCATCCAACTTATTCCCATTTTCAAACCAAACTCCATCTGCCCTCCTATTCTCACGTTTTACTGATCTTCCATCCTCTTATCAATATGTACCATCGGTAGCTCCTCTAATACATGTAGCAACACCATCACAATAAACAATGTCGTAACCGTTGTCGATGATGCCCTAAGTGAACGATCTCCGTCGCAGGCTCCGCCACTGCAAATCTTGATACAAGCACGAGGAAGACTTCTATGGTGAGCTTTGTTAGATCTCTGCTACACCTTAGATATCGATCAAGAAGTCAAATCCAACAAGTAAGTCGCTCCATACCCATGTCAATGGGGGCGGTACAAAACTAAACCCTACAAATCCACGAATACAAAACTTTAGAAACTCTTTAAAGTTAATATTATCTCTAAGATACGTATGTATTTTTCCCACACTACTCGTTTTCCATTTTCTGGAGCTAATGGGTGTGAAAATACTTTAAATAAATTACTTCATATTCATTGCTAAGAATTTAAAGTCTAGGAGAATAGATGTCAAAAAGGGATTTATAACTTATTATTTTGACCTCCCCACTCTGAGTTACACACAACATGATGGGATAGCTTTTAATTAACTGGTTTTAGTTAACTAAAGTTTCTTTTTTTACAAAGAAGACATATATTAGAATCTTAGAAACTCGCAGAGTATCAAGAAGACAAACCCTCCCATTTTAGTCATCGGCCTTAGGATCAGACATAAAACCATAGGTGTCACAAACAAAACTATTTGAGCCTGTTGCAACCAAAAAAGAAAGATTCCCCAAAGAACACCCACCAAACGGATGCTATAGCTAGTAGTCCAAATAGAAAACATCCTAGAATCCTGATTAAAAAGTCCAAAACCAACAAAAACAAAACAGAAAGACAATCTTGAGAGCTTGTGTCATCCCTCTTCAACTTGTCAGGCGAGCCCGTTGCCTAGAGCTCATCCCACATCGTTTTTTACACCACTAGCTTCTACCTCCATCATTGTGTATGTCTCTCCTGACAGCTCCAACTTGTGATGCTTCTGCTCAACTACTTGCACTCCTTTTACACTGGACCCGAAGCCTCTCCTGCACTTACATTTTATACCAAAAATCAAACAGTGAGGTTCATGTTAGACACACTTTTACATTTTTATTACCAAAATATAACTTTGATTCAAAGTTTTCCCTCATTAACGTCGACTATTGGTTAAATTCTATATATTTTCATTTTTTTTTTCAAAAGCTTTCACCTTTAAATGGACTCTATTAGTGAAACTACTTGAATATTAGGAAATATTGCTATCTTCAATAGAGACACCATATATGTCAATTTTCATTTTTTCTAATTCTAGAAGGTGATAAGGGTAAAGATGATTATAATGAGGTTGATATAAAAGATGAGAGATGATAAATATGGTGAGTTAGATGGAAGTGGAAGATAATGGAGATGGTGGAGATAGAAGATTATGAAGATGGTGATAGTGATGGAAGATGGAACAAAAAGATGATGAAGGAACACAAAAGAAAGAAGAATAGTGAGTTGGGTGGGGGAGCCGTATGGAAAGAAAGAAATAAATAAAGAAAGAAAGAAAGAAAACAGATGCAATGTGTGGGGAGAGGAAGGGGTAAAGTTTGGTTAATGGCATATGAGAGTCTATGTCCTTATGTGCAAGGGTGAGATTACGTACATCGACCCCCTTTATCTCACGGTAAGTGAGAACATTTGCGGCACTATAGTAATGTTGTTGGTTTTTGCTGTTGTAGTTAAATTATTTTTGTCTAATGGTGTGTATGCATAGATGAATAATAGAAAGAAAGGCATGACATGAATTTGAGTTCTACGTGTATTGTGTGTTCCAAACATAAAAGTATTTGTGTACTACCTCTGCCCCAATTTAAGATTCTTGTCGAAAAAATGAATAATTATATAGACAATAATTAAGAATGGAGTCATTGATGATAACTGTGATGATCTAGCTGTATTGTTTTTTATATTTGATGGTTACGGAATATTTTAATTGGATTGAAATTTTTTAATCTAATATGTTTAAGTCTGGCCCGGTCTATGTGTATTTTATAACTGTGAAAACATGATATGATATATTTAAATCTTATCAGATCTATTCTTATTTGGAGCTGATATTAGTCCACGTAAAAACATCTCAATTTATCATTCTAGAATGCTTACTATTCACAAAAATGGAAATGAGATGATTACAAACAACCAGAATAATGTAAATATAAGTAAACAATAACAGAAACGGTGAAACTTATTTAACAATTTAAAAAAAAACTGAAATTTAAAAATGGAATAAAAAACAAAGAGCAAAGTTGATGATTTGCCATCGAGAAAGAATGGACATGGACGGAGAGAGGCAGACACCAGTGTTGAAATTCAGGGCACGAGGGGGACAGTTGCTGAGATGTATACTAACTTAGCAGTGAACTCCTTGGATAATGCTTATGAACGATTGTCATTTGAAGAAGATGAGCTAAGGTTGGAATCTGGTCCGGACAACGTCTATCGAGGGGTAGAGCTCTCCCTTGTTATAATTATTACCTCTGAAAACTTGGTACATTTTCCTTTCTTTAAGGAAATCACTACGATTGTCTAGAAACCCGTTAAAGGGGTTTTATTAAGGAATTAGGAGATTGTCAGTATTTGTTCACTTTTACCATGAGGTTGATCTCAATAGAATTTTGGATGATGACCTGTTGTTACTTGACCAAAATATGATTTTCCTGTGTAAGCTCGAGGATGAGGACATTCCATACACTGTACTACTTTATTTGGTTGAATTTTGGGTCCATGTGCATAACTTGTTAGTGAGATATGTTACTCCACTGAATGCAATTAAAATTGGAAATTATCTAGATTATGTTATTCATATTGATGAGAGTACTTCTGGGGGATCCTAGAACTCATTTGTGAGAATCAGGGTTACCCTAGATGTTGGAAAGCCTTTGGAAAAGATTGACATTATAAAAGGAGGGCGTAGAAAGTTTCATTGTAAACTTTCTATATGAAAAATTGTCTAGCTTTTGTTTTTTGTATGGGATCATTGGACATGCAGAGAAGTTCTGTCATATGTTAGTAGAGGAATGGAGGGTGGCTCCGTAGGAGTAGAAAATCTTATGGACCATTGCTTAGAGACGCTGGAGTATATTGGCAAGTGGGGTGGGGGGATAAGTGGACGATATCAAGTGGAGGAGAGAAGAATTAAAGAGGTATTATGGGAAGATAAATATGGCTTCAAATTTGGCAAGGGAGGAAGATACATGGGAGGAGAGTATTTTGGTGTTGTGAGGGACAAAGGGATTAGATGATAGTGGTGCCATAAAGGAAGATTTTATCTATCAGAAGCGTAAATGTTTGAAATTTGACTAGAAATGCGAGCATGGATATTGAGCCCCTGAAACCAAAAAACTGTAAGGAGACGGGTCAACTCGAGTTGGCTCGCCAAGGTTTCTAGTTCCCAAGAATAGTGTTAGCCGGTGTTGGAAGTGGGCACCGACAGTTCAGGAAAAGCTTCAGTGATTTTTATGCTTTGCTTTGTTAGTTCCAATTAGTTCTTGTTTTTATTTCAGTTACTTGCTTTTAACAATGTCACAAGTTGGGGGCATTAGTTGTGTTGTTAGGGTGTCTATCACCCCGATCAGAAGTTTTGTGACTCTAAGCTGTATTTGTTTTCAAAGCTCTCAACTGATTAGCGAATTGTTATCTTCATATGAGGGTGACTAGTTATATGTTTGATCATAGAACGAGAGGATCTTCATATTTTTAGTTTAGTGAGAGTTTGAGTTTTTCTAATTAGAGTCTAATATGAACTTTTGATTGCAGTTTATTTTAATATAGACTCATTATTTTAACAAACAAAGGGTACCATGTTTTATTGGACTGTTTTCAGTCTCAGATTAGATCACACCAGACCAGGTCAGACTGAAACAGATCAGATCAGACTTGAACAATTATAAAATACACAGAGACCAAACATTTATCAGATCAGACCAGACGTCCACACCCGAAATGATCGTTCAAGAAAACATCCTTGTTAAATTAAAATAAAAATCTAAGCAGCAATTTTAATATATAAAAAAACAAATCGGCAAATTAGTCCATGTATGGTTAGGATGACAATAATGGGGCAAATTATATCGTGCAACCGGCGCACCATCCTCCCGGCGCACCATGAGGATGGTGCGTCCGGTTGCAAAACGACGTAGTATTGTGCCTGGTTTCTTTATTTTTTATTGCTTTTGTTGTTAAAAAATGGTAGTAAAGCGCACTGGATCTATTGTGGATGTTCCTATAACTTTTTTATTTTTGATCCGATTTTTATAAAATTTATATCAACATTTTTTATTTTTTGTGATCTTTCAAACGAGACCAATATTGCTTATGTAATTTTAAGAAATTATCGAACTATTATATTAATGAGTTCTACAAGGAAAATCAAACAAAATTTAATACAGAAAAATAATTGTGTAAATCAAAATTTATCTTAAAATTGTGTATATAAAAAATTTATTGTATTATGTATTTATACATGTGAGTTACATATTTTTATACGTGAAGTTACATATTTTTACACGTAAAGTTACATATTTCTACACGCGAGTTACATATATATACACACGAGTTGCATTTGACCTGTCTGAACGCGAGTTACATATATTTACACGCAAAGTTACATATTTTTACACGTAAAGTTACATATTTATACACGCGAGTTACATATTTATACACACGAGTTGCATTTGACCTGTCTGAACGCGAGTTACATATTATTTTTACGTAAAGTTACATATTTTTACACGTAGAGTTACATATTTATACACACGAGTTGCATTTGGCCTGACTGAACGTGGGTTACATATTTTAACACCGTGGGACGGTTGCATGGTATACGAACTGCAATAATGGGGGCCAAGCAACTCCTTTTGCTAGCTCGTCCAAACGTGTCATAGGCATTTTTTAAGGGAAAAGGGCCAAAACAGACACTGACGTTGTTTAGTAATCTCAGGTAGGCCACTGAAGTTTAAAGTGGACCATTTAAACACATAAGCCACCTGTTTGGGTTACATTTGGCCACTCCCTAACCGAGCCGTCCATCTGTCGTTAACTCCCTCCTCTCCCCCAATTAAATGCTACCCAACAAAATTGACAATCCTAATTGATCTGCCACGAAGCTAATTCATCTGCCATGAAGATCCTTAGCCTGAAACTGAGTGCGCTTAGAAGAAGGGTGATTACTTCCGTACGCACGTGAATGACTGGGAGTTCTTAATGTCTCATTTTGGAATCCACAGTCACGCTTAAAGGTATTCAATGTATTTATTTCCTTTTCCTCGTAAAGGATGAGTGAGTTGGTGAACCTGCGGTTTAATCACAGTGGGAGATGGATTTTGCACCCGAAAATGAAATATGTTGATGGGGATGTCCATACAATATATAGGTTTGATCCTGATTTTCTGTGCTTTCATGACATTCAAAGAACTTACAAAGAGGAATTGGGTTTCATAACACTAAAAAACATTTATGTGTTGGTACCCAGAAAAGATTTGGACAATGGGCTATTTTTAGTTCAAGATGATGACACAATTAGGAAGGTTTTGAATCGGATTAGGAATTTTTCTTGGATTGATGATATAGAGTTGTATGCTGATCATCAAGTGGACGAGCCCCTTCTCATTCCCCAAATAGAATGGTCTTTTGTTCAAAACAACCAGAGTGAGAATGTGAGTAACCAAAGCCCTGAAACAGTCAATGAGGGGGTACTTCCCCCTGAAACTAGAGGGGTGCCAAATGGTTATGTAAGTGATGGGGAAGCAAAGGTCCGCTATCATTTTACAAGTGCTAAATCAAAGGTTGAATATTTATAGGAATGTTGTAACAACTTTTTGTTTTATGGATGGTTGCTTTATAAGAAGCTTTATATGAATGGATGGTTGCTCTATGTGAAGCTTTGTCTGAATGGTTGCTTTATATTAAGTGCTTTAAAAGTGAATGGTTGCATTATAATAGTTTTTTTGTTCTGTTTTACTATGGACGCAATAGTACCTACACATTCAGACAAACACATTGAAAAACATACACAATGACATATACCTTCATACCATTTCGATTCATACATATGAAATCTCCAAATTGGTACTCATCTGTTTACAATAGCAGAATGCATACATTAAACAAAATTACAACACCATAACCTACTATATTCTTCTAACTAAGTTAACATAAAAATCAGTGCAACTAGGACACATAAAAACGGTACAACTAAGTAGTTCCTCATTGTCTTTCTTTCCCTTTCCAAATTCATAACCTCATCATTGTTGGTACTATCATATTGCAGCCTTTGATATGAACTTTCAAATTGACAACTTTCAGTATCAAATTCTAGCCCTGCAGTGTCATCAAACATCCCCCCTTGCCATTTGGTTGACATAGTGCACCCCTAAGCCTTTTGTTCTCCCATTTCAGCTGATTTATCACATCTTTCGCTCTATTTGTCAATTGCTCATCATGCCATTGAAAGAAACCGCACCCCTCCTTCTACAGTACAAAACACATATATTAATTCGAGTCATCTATATAAACAAGACCACCAATTTACAAACTTACCTTATAATATGGGCATCCATAGAATCGTCTCCCAGGATTCTTATCAGTCCATGAGGTCCAAAGTCTAGCTTTCGTAACCATTCCATTCATGTTTCTGCATTTACAATAGGTGGAACGAGTAGGAGTTCCAGATTCTAAATTGCTTCGCTTCTTCATTGATTCTACGGAAAAGAGCGTGATTTCTCTTCACCAGTCCACCTCGAACGTGAACCTCCATCACCCATTTCTCTGTTTTTGTTATACGATCTCTGAGAGTCTGGAAGTGGTTGATCGTTTTTATTAGGGCTGCTGAAGAATTGCTGGGTAGCCGTTTAATTAGGGAGAGAGTAAGGAGTTAACGACAGATGGACGGTTCGATTAGGAAGTGACAAAATGCAACCCAAACAAGTGGCTTATGTGTTGAAATGATCCACTTTAAACTTCTCATTTTTTGCCCTTTTCCGATTTTTAAAACCCGAAGCGTCGTCTACACGCACCTGTCTTCAACCTATCTATTTTCCATTTCCTATGCCGACCAAAACTGTCAAAGCTCCGACGCTACGGAGTGAAAACTGAATAATCACCTCTCAGCTTCAGATACTCGTAGTTACGCACATATACGTATGCAAATGCTCTAACATATGCATTTCTGATCTCACTTGGAGTTGAATTCAATCTAGAGATCTGAATCAGATCTCATCCTTACTAACCCTTATGTCGTGCCTGGCTCTTTCGCTGCAACCCACCAACGGACCCGACGTCCTCCTTCAAACACGAGAATGGTTTCCTCCATCTCGGGCCCTGATGGCTCTCTCCGCCTTCCGGCAGACCCGATTGGCATTCTCCAAGCAAGCTCAATCTGCTGCCGCCGCGTCCTCATCGGATTCCACGTCCTCAGATGCACTTGGCGATGATCCTCTCGCTGCCTCTTCCGGTCAGGTTATTGTTGGGGTGGAGTCCCGGTATCGTGTTGTTTACCGTCTTGTTAATTCGATTTATGTTCTTGCTATCACTACTGCTGATGAAAATGATAAAGATCGAATCGTGAATAATGTTTTCGAGTGTATCAGTATTGTGAATCAAGCAGTTTCGGTTGTAGTGGCTGCTTGTAGGGGGGTTGATGTGACCCCTGAAAAGCTTGGTAAGAAATATGCCGAAATATACATGGCTTTGGATATTGTTTTAAAAGGGGTCAGTAGCATCAGGCTTGCTGCAATGCTTGCCTCGATGCATGGAGAAAGCATTGCAAAAATGGTGCATTCTGCCGCCAATACAGAGAATAAGATTAGGGGAGCTGATAGCTGGGGGAGTTTGGAAGCTCAGTCTGCGGAGCATGGAGCTGGTCTAGAATCATTTTCGAAAGCTTCGTTCGAGTTACCTCCAGAGACGCTGGAGGCTGGTGATGAAGTTGCAGCCACATTGGTGATCACAGGTGGGGAGAAGGAGGAGAAGGAGAGGGTGGATGAGAGTGAGGAGAAGGATCCGTTTGCAGCTAGTGATAGGATAAACAAGCCTGAATCATTGGTGGGTGAGTTTAAGAAAGATAAGGATAAGGAAATCTCAGATGTAGCAAAAGCTTTGGCTGGGCTTGAGGTAACCACATTGCCACCTGCTGCAGCTAGTCAGTCAACACACATTGGTGTGGAAGGGTTTGAAGGGGATTATGGTGGGATAGAGTTTGGTAGTGAAGGATCAACACTGAGGGAGGATTTTGAAGGGATTAATGTTTCATGGGGTGGTGGATTAGATGCTTCAGAGTATCTGGGTACAAAGAAAGTTAAGAAAGATCAAGGGCTTGGTGGACTTGAGTTCTTGGAAACTAGCGCGCCACCTAAAACTGAAGCTGCACTTGGTGCGGGACCAGGGAACGCTGCTGCCAAGAATCTTGAGGACATTTTGGTGGAGAAGATGAAGGGTCCAGAGATGTACATTTCAGAAGAGATCAGTGCAGAGTTTAGGGAGTCATTGCTTTCTAGGGTGGGATTGGTCGGCACTATCTACTTAAAGACGATGCCTCCAAAGCCATCTGATGACAAGGAAACTGAGTTCTCATTCAAGGTTGATGGAACTGGTGGAGTTAAGCTTTTTGTAATGCAAAATTCTCTTGTGAGCAGTCTTGGGAATGGAATGTTTCACTTAAAGACTGCACCTTCGAATGAACTTATCCCCATTATCAAGTACAGCTTGCTACCACGCTTAACTCCATTGCCATTGCGAGTTCGACTTGTTCAGGGCCTCAGTGGAACATTATTTTCTGTTATGCTGCAATATGTGTCAAACCCAGACCTGCCAGCTCCTTTAACTGACGTGACCTTTGTTCTGAAGCTTCCCGTGGATCCAACATTGGTAAAGGTTTCCCCAAAAGCTCTATTGAACAGATCTGAGAAAGAACTGAAGTGGCATATAGATGAGATCCCACTTAAGGGTAAACCTGGTAGGCTAAGGGCTAGGTTTCCTGTGGATATTAGTGATGATGAAAGTAATATTGAAGAACTTGAGGTTTCGGGTTATGTCACATTTTCTGGGCAAGGAACTAGATCATTGTCTGGCATCTCTTTACTGCCGGCCATTGACGGTAATACAGACTTTTATGAGGTCTCTCACAAGTATGTCACTGGGACTTACATTTGCAATTAAACATTTTTTGCATATTGTACTCCTTTTTGGGTGCAATTGTATTCCTTTTTTTAAAGAAAAACAAAACAAAACTGCAGTGAGGCTTTATATTGAAAACACTTTTAACTGTATTTGTGATTTGTGAATGGGCAGCTGTCTTTGGCAGTAACAAAGACATTACTTTCTGAGGTGTGTTTAAATTGGCAGGCTATGTAATGTTGAATAAACTTTGCAATTCTCAGGGTATATTAGTACTATCTTCGTTTTCGTCCATATTTTCCTTTGGCGTGACTTCTACGGGTGATGTGGCTAGGATTGAAATGGACACGACAAAAACAAAAGCATTGAAAACAAGGAACCACAAATCCCAACCACTCTCATACCTGGACTTTAGATATAACGATTGAGGAGTGAATCACGGTAAGATCACAAACATTTTTTAATGGAGTGATTCAGGGAAGAGAGCTACCACACTGGATGAATTTTTTACGTTGCCACTTTCAATAACTGAATATGAGATCTCAACTCAACTCTCACTCAACAATCGTTAAGCTACCCATGCGCCTGTGATTTTTTTGTTCAGTACAAGCGTAATTGAAACAGATAAAAAAATATGATCAATATCAATTAAATCATGGAAGAAAAGACATCTCCCACATTGTGTAATTGTTCAAAATTTTACAAATGATACTGCCTCCGTCCCTTAAAATTTTGTCATGTTTGACCAACACAGAGAATAATAAAGTAAAAACAGTGTGATTGGTGTTTGTGCAGAGGAGAGAGAAATAACAGGAATCACAAAATAATTGATTAAAAGGAAAGATGACAAAGTTTTAAGAGATGGAGGGAGTACATAATATTACAATAATTGAAAAAGTGATCAACCATGGGCAATGAACAATGTTTGGAGGAATTATTCGCGATTACATAATAAGCAAGAAAAAACGTATCTGTTTTAAAGCAGTTGATAGAGTACATCCACATACTCACAAGCATCTGCAGCCTACCTAAGTACCCAACAACTATCTAGACATCACCCTCGCATGGCCCTCACACATTCAAGAGCACATCACAAAGCCAACTTGATGAAGCAGTTGGATGACTTCCGAATAGGACCGGGTCCACTAGTCGGCCTCGAGCCCCTCAGCTTGCCTCGTGACTTCTTTGAACAACATAACAAAGACAACAGTACGATCCCTCCAATGGAGATAGAGACGAGAGACACCTAGCCCTTTGTCCACCACACAACAGTTTTCACCAACACCACACACTCTATTCTTATACGTTGTAGGGCTTTGCTCATAGACTAGCTTATAATCACATATATACGTACATTTAATGCATCAACTAGTATGAATAATCTTTCATTGATATCAGACATGTTTCTATCACTACTATTTAGTTCTACGTTCTCGATCTGTAGATGCCATTAGTATTGAGTAGATACAATTATAGAATAACTGATGGATAGTGTACCCGATGGTAGCCTATCCGAGGGGTTATTACCGTGAATAACTTAGAGAGAAGTCATAGCAATAAGTAAGAGAGAGAGAGAGAGAGAGTAGGTATTCGATATAGAAAGTTGTTTTTACAATGGGAAAATTGGTTGCTATTTATAGCAGCCATAAATGCTAGATCTAATCAGCGAGGGTACACGTGTCAAGCAACCAGCGGTGGAGGGTCAACTCAACCAGGGTGGCGTCGAGCATAGCACATGGCCACATTTAATGCGGTGGTTTGGGTGTGACGTTGTACTCGATGCGGCGATTCAGTGCATGTGGGAGACGAGATCTTGTCGAGAATAGTGCCTTCGGCCGCACCTACCGGGGCCGAAGGCCCTGCACACCGAGGGTCCTAGTGCCGAAGGCTGTATGTGCCAGAGGCTCTTATTTCCTGCCCTGTTCTTTGGTGATGTTTCTGGACCAGGTTCCTTGAGTTTAAGGCCTTCGGTGCATGGGGCCGAAGGCACATCATGCGTATGTTTGTTGGGCTTGGCCCATTTGGACCTGTTGGGCCTGGTTGTTGTAATGGGAATATGTTGGCTGGGGGTTCCCGGGTCATATATTCCATCAATAACAAAGTTAAGACGTCTATATAGGTTAAGATATCTATCTCAATTAAGTAATATTTGTATATGAAACTTTTTTATGTGTGTTGAATAAACAATCTGAATTGAATAACACAATCAACATAGTATTATTCTCGACTATAATATCAATGAGAAATTTTATTCATTAACACAAACGTATTCCACAATTGATTTAAAAATTTTGATAGAACAAGATGCTTTAATAGTCATCTTTTCTATTAAGCAACTGTTATGATACACTAAGAAGATATTTTCATATGAAATATTCAACACTCAACAACGCGAATAATGAATAAGTTGTGTGTTCATGTGTTAATTATTCAAATATTATGTACTGTTTTCATATCGAATAAGACTTTATGCATACCATTGTAATATTTGTACTAATTCGATCAATATTTTCGAATTTGTAACAGTTTGAAATATGTCATTTATTGTTACATTTTTTGGTATGTAAATGTGTGGAACAATATATATTTTTTAATGTGTAAATATTCAAACATTATGCACTCAAATCATCTTTTTTACAATATTATACTCCGTAATAATGATTTGAAAAGGAGTGATGGATCGGACCGGAATCGGATTTCAGCGGGCCGGTCCTGGGCTCCACAACCGAGGTTGGGACCCAACAGGCCCAGATCCACCCCTACTTATGACAAGAGGCAAGAGCTCTTCACCAAATGATGATAGCGACACTTCGAGACTCGGTCAAACAGCCAAATGAATCAAAAGCAACAAAAATCTAGTGGCTCTGCTATTACTCAACCATGATGGGTATGGCAATATGGTTCATTAGTTCTTTGAACATGAAATGATGAAATACGTGTGCATTAAATAACATCACCATTAAGGCATTAAATCAGGAATATAATAAATGCATATACGTAGTGTGTGTTAATCCATATATAGTGATGAACATAATTATACAGCTAACTGCCGTGTTGAGTCAAATCGGTGGACGTACAAGACTAAAATATGTGTTTTTCTATTTCATTTATCAAAATTTCAGGAAAATCGCACTTTTAATCCCTCAAATAGTCACCATATTGAAATGTCAGACTTGTGTTCCCCAGTTTGTAAATATTACACTTCAATTGTCCGAGTTGTTGTAAATGTGGTCCTTTGAGGGGTGAAATGTATAATGTGGACATGAAATACATTTCACGCCTCAAAAGACCACATTTACAACAAGTTAGACAATTACGGGGTGTCATTTATAATCTTAGAAATACGTATATGACATTTCAATATGGTGACTATTTCAGACTAAAAGTGCAATTTTCCCAAAAATTTCCAAACCATTCAAAATTTCAGATTCTAGGATTCGAATGGTTCCACGTAAAGAATATTATAGACAACCGTTCGAGTCCGAACTAGAACCGTAACCTAATTGTCTTAATCCTTTACAATCTTAATTCTTTGTCAACACATAACTCTAACCATAATTATATGTAGTATTTAATTAGGTATTAATAAGAATTAAAAATAATAATATTTGGGATGTTCACATTAAAAGAAATTTAATCATATTTTATACTCCCTCCGTCCCAAAATTATCTTCATAATTACTATTTACACGGTCAACTCAAATTACTCTTAAACTTTTACTTTATATATCAAATTTAAATTTTCTTGATCTCCCTTTGTAGCGGATTTAATGTAGTTTCTGAATATGTAAATTTAATTTACTAAAAATAATCTGAGTGTGAACAGGGATTAAGTTGTTTTATCGTCAGTCAAGCATCGTAAACCGAACTACGAAGATAAATATGGGACGGAGGGAGTACTCTATATAATAAATTGATACTACATTCGTCCCTTAAAATATTGTCAACTTTCCCTTTTTGGATGTCCCATTAACTTTGCCACTTTCCTTTTTAACTAAAGGATTTGTGGTTTCAGTCAATTCTCTCTCCTCTGCACAAATCTCAATCATATAGTTTTTACTTTACTAATTCCTAATCCGGTCAAACGTGGCAAAATTTTAAGGGACAAAGGGAGTAATATATATTAGAAAATCATGATCAAAGTAATTCGTGGAATAGCGCGCGCGTGTATTTAAACCCCATGAAAAGGAATATTAAGGATGCGAGGATCACACCTAGGGCTCTATAGGTTTGCGTGAACTTTTTTGGCGGTTATCGACATCAGAAGAAGCATTACAGGCTGGTGGATCGTTACGACGTACGGAGAAGGAATCAGAGATTGAAGAGAAGGGCACATTTACGCCTTCCCTGTTGCAGCGGAAGTCGATGAAGAGACCAAGCAGGCGCCGCAAGAGCAGGGACAATCTTTGGCAGCAAACATCAGCACGATACCATTAGGGAAAGGATCAATGGCGGATATCAATGAACAAAGGGAGATCGAGAGGCTGGCTAGTGCGTATGGAAACATGAAGATGGAGGATGGGGGTGAATTTCTATAGGTAGATGCTACAACACCTGATATTGAAGAAGTCGGTTGGTCATTGGTAGGGACAATCACATCTGAAAAGTCGTCACACTTCTGATCTCCATTTTTCGTGATACTATGACAAATATTTGGAAACTTGTTAGAGGTGTCACTATTACAAAGTTAGGGGCTAGAAGGTACATGTTTCAAATTTATAATGAAAATGATATGCTAAGAGTTTTTTGGAGGAAAGACTCTGGACTTTCGATCAAAGCCTTCTCGTATTGGACAAGATAAGGCAAGGGGATTTACCTTTAGCGGTGCCCTTAAACAGGGCTGATTTCTGGCTGCACATCCATGATGTCTGGGTTGGATATTTTTCTATGAAAACTGCAATAAAAATTGGTAATTTTGTGAGAAAACTCACTAGGGTGGTTGAACATGATTTTTTTGTCAAGTGGAATCCGTTCATGAGGATAAGAGATAGTATTGATCTGTCACAGCCCTTGAACGGGAACTCTTTTTGCAAACGGATGAAGGGACAATTATTTTTGTGTCAAGTTTAAATATGAGAAACTTCTAAGTTTCTGTTTTGCATGTGGTATTATTGATCATTGCCCACTGATAGAGTATATCTAGAGAGAAGTGAGAGCTAGAGAGAGAAGTGCAATAATATGCTTCAATAGAATGAATTTGTAACCCCTATAACTACTCCCAAGGGGAGTATTTATAGAGAAAATACGGGCTGGGCTCCCAAGCCTTGGGCTTGGGAGGCCCATTTACAACTGGA